CCAGGAGGAGCCAGGAGGTTCCAGGTTTACGGTCATTCACGGTAATTAATGTGGGCATAACATTTGGGTGCAGGCACAGCTAGCCAATCATGGTACAGTTTTCCATTGCTACTACATGCGTCCAAAATTTCATCCCTGGACATCTCTCCGTAGGTAAGTCTTTTGAAATTCTCGGGCCATCCGCACGAAGCTGAGTTCGTTCTGCTATTGGACAGCCGAAAGTAAACAGATTTTTGCAAAGTTTATGCGGCTTGTTCGCTTTCAAGTTCCCCGCACTCTGCTGCGATGAATGACAGCCGCATTAATATTATCGGAATCTTCATACGCTGATATCAATATGCACACAATAACTTGGCAATGAAGGAAATATTGCGGTGACAGACAATTGGATATAATAATTTCCAATCCTAGGACTGTCAGTAGCCACCAGCTGTCACCTCGAGGACTCGAGCATTTGGAACTGTCAAAATCGCGGGGTCATTTATTGCTGCCCCTGAAGTCTGGCGCGACTTGCATAACATTTCCCAGCGTTTCCCCCGACCGCCGCACCGTATCGGAATGACGTACCGACCGCCACTGCGGGCAGGCTGTGCTCCAAGTTGCTGACAGAATTACTTCAGGAATAACCAACATTTTAGAAAATAGGGGAAATGTTCACCGAGTTGGCTGTTCTTGTTCCTAAACTTTAACTTGTGTCTACATGCTAGGAACTGTAAGTAGTCGTCGGGTATCGGAACGGGTGAGCCAGTGCTGATCTCAAGTTATTGCGGCAGCTGTTTTGGTTCAGGTCAGTCATGCAAAAGGACTAGGCTAGAATGAAACTGGGCTCCCTTGAGAATTTCAGACTCGCTCAGACTTGCGAGAATGAAGTGCGAAGTCAGGCAAAGGTTTTACCCCTTTTACTAGCTGGCTCCAATGATTGTGCACGACCAAAAGATGAATTGGAGCAAAGGATGACCGGCACGGTCTCTAGCGTATTCCGACACTACGGACCCACAGTTTACTCTGTAGCTTGGTTGGTATACTCCATGGCGCAACCGCGAACTTGGTGCAGAGCGGTGCCAAATTGCCAATCAGCTTCCACCGAGGCCTTAGGCAATAGGAACACTAGTCATGTGTGTAAGTATACTGTGTCTATCTTCATTTGAAATCAATTTCAATTTTCACCGCATGATTTCAAGGACTTCGTTCGTTCGTCATCGTCATTGTCAATGACCGTATGATAGTGCATCTTGCGCCCATGTTTGCTTATCTTGCATTCATCATTCTGCCAAGGATGCTGATATGGTATCATAATCTATATTACGACTGGTTACGATGAAAAGAAGATGAAATAAGCCTTCCAAAGGTCTGAAGATCCAAGGGACCCTCTACAAATCTACGTGGAGATTTCCAATTCCGGTGCGCTGAAGCGCACACGGATTACTTATTGGTGAATGTATTGCATATGCTGCAATAATGACAAACCTCTACGATGAATCTGTTGGTCTCGTTGCACTGCGCATGAACTCCTGCTGACGATAATATTTCATACTCTAGCCGAGTGTCAAACTCCAAGTCATTGTGACCTGGTCGAACCCCAGGAAAGTACCTTTGATTCAAGGCTACTTGCCAAAATTATTATCCCGCGATTGAGGTGACGTCGGGCGCGAGTGAGTTGCAAGAGCGACTTCACTAGAAGATAACATGCCGAATACTCAGTTCATCGCAAGAAATACTGTCACTTGTCCTGATGCGATCCATAATTTCGTATACCTAGCGCCTCCATCGTTTTACACGCATCATGGACTCCTCTCTCCGGCTCACAACGTAACCAAGGCAGTCGAGATTCCGTCATCTCCGCTACATGCATTTCGAGACTTCACGTGTACAATAAAACCGGCAACAGGGATCGATTTGCGGCACCGCCATGGATAATTGATCGATGAGTTGTGCAGTGCACAGCTATGAGCTGATGCTACGATGCCATGTTCCGACTCCTTCCCTCCCAGAAGTGAGCGACTACGAACACGAAGGCATCGCAATCGTGATTCATCGTGCGACATTCACAGAGGTCTAGGACATTCCTGGCTCTTCAGAGGTTATCTCTACGTTATCAAACCGTTGCCACCGGAGGGATCGTGGTCAGGTCGTTGGGCTTGCATATCCATCCCTTGACCCTTGTGACAGTGCTTGTGGATCTAAATAGCTGATTCGGACAGAGCCCCGTTAATTTGGAATTTCGCCAAGATTTCTATGATACCACACATATGATCCACGTACTGATATAGATGCCTTCATTTATTTTTCATAGATCGAACTCTCCGTTTGCTACCAGTGCAACGTTGTAGGTCCGTAATGCAAATGTACAGGGATTTTGTGGCGGGACGTCGGGTACTGCCGCAGGCAAAGATTAGTTTCCCACCCACGTTTACTTTGTAGTCCACAAATATTTTTGAATCTTTTGATGTCACTCCAGCAGATCCATTGCATGGACATGAAACGCAGCGAACTGTTCCACATGCTCAGGCTGCTTCAAGTTCTTGGGAAGGGAGTATTTTAGAGATCACAGCTCGAAACTGATGGTATTCGATTTCACAGGATGCCACGATTTCATCCAAACCATTTCTAGCACGATTTTGATCCGGAAGCTGGACGTCTAGACTCTAGAACATCGTGCTCTCCATGCGGTGCTTACTGCGTATTGACACTTCCGCACGCTTGACGCATGAGAAGCCTTGTTTCCACAAGTTGCAACATTGTTTCATGTGAACATCATCATGCACATTTCCATCTCCTCAGTGCGCAAGGCTTTCCGACCGAACGGAAAACAGCTGTCATGTTCTTCTTTCGAGATGATTCAAGCTGTGATCTCATTTGAGACACTGCCAGGAGATTTACTCTACCATATTTTCAGCTACCTATCGGTGACAGATATTGTTAGGTTGCAAAGGGTATGGTTTTGTTTCGCATTCTGTCACCCGTGGCTTTGATTGAAAGAAATCCACAAGGTGTCCAAGACACTCAGGTCGACCGTGCTCCGTGACGCAACCTGGTTTCATATCTACCGTACTTCCTCACGTCCACGTATTCCCGCATTGTTGTCCACCTTCTCTGCAAGTTATCTTCAGTCGTGGCTAACTTCAAGTGAGAAATTCGATCGCTGGTGCTCAAATGGCCCACGAGATGGGAGGATGGCCATGGATAGTAAGAGATATAATGCCCGAACACTGAATTTCGGCAACAAAGAGCTTCCACTGCCTGGAGTTGCTCGCAGACGAACAGTCGAACTCTATCCGGATGCTACCGGGAATCACACTCCTTACGGCCTCGTTTTCAGCCGTTGGTTGATTGTCACCAGCATCTGCTCTTCAGAGGCACCTGTCAGGTGCTTTGACCTGGATGCAGACAAAGGAAATGACTCAGCCGAAGAAGTACCCCTGCAGCTCTATGCTAAACATTCAACTGTGTTGTACACAACCTCCGGTATGATTTTTGACCTCCGTTGCGTCCAAAGCACGCGAACGAACGGAGAACGTGTTGCATTTGTAATTTTGGTGGAGAATTTCTTTGCACTGTCTGTCGCTGTTTTTTTGGTTTTATATCGGTGGAATTTAACGTCGGTTTTGATACAGGAAGGTGTTTCAGTTCCGTGTCAGCTCAAAAGGCTCTCAGTTACACGTCGCGCTTCAAGAAGTTTTTACAAGGCATGACATGCATCTATCTAGTCTTCGAGAGGTATCGCTTGGTCCGAGGCTAATTGCCATCAAGTACGCACGAGGTGGTACTTTCAGAAGCCCAGGACCCAAGAGTGATCATATTCTTTGCCTTGACATTGAAACATTCACAACATTTACTGTGACACACGATGTAAAGCACATGTCTATGTCTGTGCACAGTTTGGCTGATCACTAATCTGTCAGGATGCTGCTTCACCGAGTCCAGTCGAATCTATGCTTTCGTGCACCTCACACTTATTGTTGCTGCGCGCATCATCGACTCACACATTGGTTGAAGCATATGAAATTCCTCCCTCCCTACCCAACGAGCACATTGAATGCAAACTACGTGGCCCGGCTAACGATTTTGATCCAAATACGTCTACAGGCCGCCTGCAACGTAGCCACGAGGGTGTTGTTGGTAGCAAGCTATCCAATGTAGTCATTGTTCACGACCCCATGTTTCCTTATCCTCGTCCTGCCGCCAGTGGCGAAGGGGGCTATCATGATGACGAAGGCGTCACAATCACTGCCTCTTTCCATAATCGTACGGATGACCACAAAACGTTCCTTGGTCTCGTGCGGCTGACTTTGCTGCCCCGGGACAGTCCCTCCAGCGGGGGCATCGCCACTAGGATATTGGGCTCTCATATCCATCCTGCGGATCCGACGCCACCTACAGTAGTCATGGACTCTTCATTCAATGGATCAACGAAGGGCTTCGTTTTCTATCCTGAAGAAGTCACAGAAACATCTTTAATGCCTAGGTTCCGCGTACGAGCTGCGCTGAGCATTCGTTCGCCACAACCTCCTGAAGCCGAGTTCATCTCCGTCATGCTTGGAGAGGGAACTGGGGAGAGGTTAAAGAAGCGTCGGGAGATCACATCGCTGGTACGAACTACCGCAGCATCTCTACGATACACCGACTTTGCGTCCGGTGACGAGGATAGCATGGAAGAGGCACAAGCTGCTAGGAGGGCGCGAGCAACAATACGTGTGGTTCCATGTCCACTTCCGGTTGATGGTATCTCGGCAAGAGACATCTTATTCGATGGCTGCACAGGTCGGATGGTTTGCAAGCGGCCTGTACGTGTCGCTCATAGATGGATGAAGAGGATCGAGGTGTGGGATATCGTTTGAGGCGCTCCATGAGCCCAAAGCATTCCAATAGGCTATAGCATGTCCCGCATTTTCCAGACTTTATGTAGCCTCGTTTGCGCTCAAACAACGTAGTGTTTATTTCGTGTTCCCTCGAATAAAATTAACGAATGTACCATCTATAAACACAGGAGAGACAACTAGCTAACCAGTATCCCCGTCTTTTACACCAGGTTCTGAAGGTACAGGTGTCAAGGGTTGCGGATGCTGCAGTCACAATACTTCGTAATGCAAGCTTGAACTTTTTTGGTGGATCCTCCCCAGGCTTCACCGCATTTATTCTACCGCTCGAGGGTTCAGGCTCCTTCCGTGAACCTAGATCAGGTCGTTTTGGCTTATTTGCTAAAATGTCTAGTTGCTCATCATCATCGTCCTCTCTTCTCCGCTTGTCGCCAAGCCGTATTGGCAGCATTGAAAGCTTGGACGATGCCTTTGAAGGGGCATTTGAAGGAGATGGGGCAATAGATTTAGAACGGAGTAAAGACTCCAAGAGGTTGTCTTCTTCATCCAAAGAGGAACGCCGAGGAAGAGGGGGCGGGCGTGAAGAAATCTGTCGATGAGATATTCTGGGACTGGGTGGTATGTCTGCAGCAGGCGAAAGGGGTGAGCTACGTTGGCTGGCTGTCGTAGCAGCTTTGGATATTGGTACTGAGGGTACTTTGGGCGAGGGAGGGCCAATTTCTTCCTCATCCTCGTCGCGATAATCCACTAGAGATTTCAACGGCGGAGTGCGAGGAAGTGCAAGTGTTTGTGGACGGAAGCCTTTCCCAACCATAGCACCACGTCGCTTTCGTTTCAATGTGGTATGCACAGGTGATGACGAGCGCCCGCGTAAATGAGGAGAGATAAATGGAGGGTTTTCGTCATATGGATCACGGCTTCCGACTTGAGGAGAGATCGAGGGCGTGTGGTTATCGCTTTCTTCATCCTCAGCATTGAAGTAATCTTCTTCCTCCACGTCAATATTTCGGCCCATATGTCGGGGATCTCGAAGACTCCTATGACGAGAATGAGTAACGGCCTGTACGTCAGACAATAAGTACGTACTTGACTGGTTGTGACTCCTCTTTGGGAGGAGGTTCGACGTTGATCTCCCACCGTCGAATGAAGGACATGAACCTGTGACCACTGAGCGGCGATGTGGCTAGTTGTCGTACCAATGATTCGTGCTTCGTCATGCAGTGATTAATTGGGTCTTTAATATTTTCCTATACCATATAATCAGCTAAACGAAAGAAGAACGAGGAAATGACGCACACGACGCATATGTTCAAAGAACTCCTGACACGAGGCACTTAGTAAACTATCCCGCCGAGACTCCTGTATCGTGAGATCCAGGATCGGTTTGAATACGTCTAGTTTCATAAGGTGGATCATGAAATTTGGGTTGTTGACCTTGAGGCATATTCGGAAAAAGCGAAAGGCAGCTGCGCTCTCCTGTCAGTATAAATACTACACGATATGAACGAGAGATGTACCCAGGCGTAAGTGTTTGTCCCGGGCTTTTAAGAATGAGGCCATACGAGCAGAGATGTGGGAGGAAAGCATGGAAAAGTGAATGCGGAAGCCATGCTGTTGAGCAAAGTTGCATACTAAGTCGCATAAGTATAGGTAAAGATTAGTCTTCTCGCGCGAAAGCCTCAGCACTGGCTCTACGAACAGTGAATCAGTCACGAAACGTGATCTACACATTAGGTAGAAACGAACCAGTCTGGGTCTTGAAATCAGGGATGTCGCTGAATGGTTTGAAGAGCAGTTCTATACATCTCTTGTAGAAGTAATCGAGAAACTTCTCAGTTCCTGGGTCGTCTTTCGGACGAAGTAACTTGACGTTCAAACCAGCCTGAAGCCGCTGTGAGATGGTCACAATATGTAAATCAGATAACGCTCACGGGTGTCAAATCAGGACCATCCTTGGGAGAGACATCCAATATGGTCTTCAGGGCATCACCGACCTGACATTGCAACGCCAAATCCCGAGTATGTGTCAACACTCTGCACATTATTCGTAAAAGCGTCTCAGCTTGCTCTCCCATCGGCCGTCCCTCCTTACTCTCCCTCTCAATAGCTGAGGCTTGCTTGGTGATGTGATTTCGAACACCATTTAAATCGTGATCGAGCAGTGCAGACATCACTTCACCCGCAATGCTGATTGTTGTTTTTGCTTCTGGGTCATTCTCTGAAAGTGAGAACGCCCACTGGACAGCAAATAGGATACCCCGGTTGACAAGGGATCGGAAGAGGGAGATACGAGCAGCAAGCGGCACATTTTTACCCATGACGCAGAGCTGCTGTATAAGCACCAATACCTCTCTACGGAGGACCAACTCATGCTCCGAGAGATTATCTGGTGGGCCGAAAGAGAAAGGCCTTGGGGTCGATGTGGAACCATTCACATGAGCGCCGTTGGGTTTGCCGTCAACATCCATCCCCTCGCGCTTCTCATCCTTGTCTTTCCCTCCCGTCAAAACCTCCTCGTTCACGTACAGCGACAATATTTCGCGGAGAAACATGGTGTCCTGCTGGACATGGTTGATTATGTCGATTTGGTTGAAGATAATACAGGAGTTGAGGACATTGAAGGTGGAGTCGTCAAGAGCGCGCGCAAGAACGACGTCTTTGAGGAACTGTAGACGGTATGTGTGGTGGATTTTCTTCTGGATCATGATGTCTTGTATGGGAATAGGTTGGTGAAATTTAGAGGTTACGTGGAGAAACTCTCGGTAGTTCGCTTTGTGATTTGGGAACTCGGGATCATCTTTGAGGAAGTCGGATTGAGTATTGTGCACATCATGCAGAAATAGGCAACATACATTCAAGCATGCCTACAGCACCAAAGAACACGCTGTCATCGAGGATATGCTCGTATAGTGCATGATCATGAATCATTACTACTACAAAATATCATCAACAAAATTCGTCACGGAAGGCAGACGAACGCACATATGGTTTGCATGAGACTGCACAGTGCATGAAGATTCTCGGCGTTCTCCAAGTCTTCTGCCAGCTTGAAGACTTCTATCATCTTCGTGATATATTCCTGCTCAAAGCTTAGCGGTCCGTCGTGAAGAAATTGATGATTTGACGACGGACCTCGCGCTGAATATACTCGCATATCCTCTCCCTAATCGCCTGTCCACGCACTAGTGTTTTAATGGCACGTTCGATATCGGGAATATTCCCAAGTTCTGGCAGAGGTAAGTGGCCGGAGCGGATGATCGCTGCTGTTGTGGAGTGGTCGCTTCGGGGAGATGATGAGCCTCCAACACTACTTTCTCCTGAAGGCGTAAAAGTCAGATAGTGCAACAGAAGGAGACCAGAATAGAAGCAGCACGGCATAGGGCCAAGGGTTGTACATACCAACGACATTCATGTGGCGCTGAACCTCGATGATGAAATTCCACACCTCTGCACACCCTTCGGCGTCCTGGAAGCTCAAGGCGTAATCTGCACCGTCCGGTTCCGTCCAGACAATCAATGTATCTGGTGGTCGCGTGAATAGGTATCAGCAGATCCCTGTAAATATATATACCAACGGACCTTGTTGGCGTTGATAGACGTCAGTGGTGCGGATGCGAGTAGTCAGGATGAGTTTGTCGAAATGGACTTCTGAGCGAGCGATAAGGAAAGCCTGGTTGGTCTCGTTCTCGAATTGTCCGTAACAAAAAGCGGTTCCTTGGTCAGCCCATTGTGAGCCAATAAGTTTGTAAACCTTTGTAGAACGTGGCAAATGTCGGTCAGAGTTGGCCCTTAATGAACTCATGAAAACAGGACAGGCACGGAAGAACGAGCAAGAGCGTCGGCACTCTTGCTGGTGCGTAGCAAGTTGGTCTGCGCCAAGGTACACCACGTTGTTGAAACGACCCATTCCTGGCATGGTTGACAAACCATACAAGGACGAGATGCAAGATGCCGACACGCAGAAGGGTGATATATGCATGACTCACCTTGACACGCTTAATATCAGGATCTGTGTCTCGACTTTCCTGTGTGTCCTCGTGTGCAGTCAGAAGGATTCACGGCCTCGAGCATTGTCATTCCGTCAAGTTTAGGATGGTCTCCAACCCGGTGAAGGTCACCTATCAGCGAACCTCGTGGGTCATGGAGGTCAATATGATTGACAACATGATTTCCTAGTCCATCCTCCGTTCCAGAAAGTCCAGAAAAATCCAGGGAAAGAGGAGGTTGATGTGAATCCTCTTGGTGGAAAAGATGCGTAGCCTGTGATGATAAATTATGATGTTGCCCTTCGTCGTCGCCAGACGTTGTAGACTTGGATTGACTGGCAGCGTCCAGGCCGCTCATGACCAACAAATTGGTTTTGTGCGTCGTCCTCTCGGCGCTATGGTATTTCCCTACAGAAATGCCTTGCCTTGAGGAATGTTTTGGTGTGAGCTCCCTTCCACCAACTAGAGGCCCTTGCACGCCCGTGAGAACAACATCCAAAGGCGCCACGGACCTTTCCGGCTACAATTACTCCCAACTCCATTAATGATGAAACAACTCACCTACGTCCATGTCACCAATCCACTTAAACTTGTTCGATGCGGTATCAAAGAAAGGCTCAAGCGTTGTGGCGGTCTCTTTTGACGATATCCCTTGGGCGGTATTAATCTGGATCATGATGCTATGACAAAACTCTCGATTTGGTGCACCATGGGCATTAACGACACTATCCGGATTTCCTTCTCACCTCAGGTCGATACCACTACGCGTCGCTTTGGTCCCACACTACACACAGCTTGATGCTAGGCAAAGCTGGCGCTGAGCGCTGAACCTTTCACATCAATCCTATATTACGTAAGATATACAGTATCCCGATCAGGAGATTGTTGAGGACATTAACTACAATTGTTTCCTGATGCCCATTTGCTTCACGATGAGCCAAAGCGTGGTGGCCCCTACCCGCTTGCAAGCGGGACTAAGCTTTGGCCACATCCACATTAGCGGTTTAGTATTCCTAGTGGCGCAGAATATGCCCGAGCCCTATTTAACGCCCGGTTTCTCCAGGACCATAGCTCACATATTATTATAACGCCACCCACACTCACCATCAATGGCTCTCAAACACCTGCTTGCTCGCATCTTCAAGCGATTCAGGAAGTCTGGATCTGCCCCTGCGCTAAACGTCACTACTGCCGCAACGCCTGCTCCTGCATCAAATGTCTCATCTCTGTGTGTTGCTCCCCTAACTGAACGGTCTCCGGCTACCCAAGCAATTTTTCCTGTCAATGTAAACCTCCGATTTCACGTAGTTTTGTCCCCTACTGCCGATGGCGCCCATATGTCAATCGAACAAAGTCAAGTATTACCTACTCTTGGCACAAGTTGTGAAGGACACGCGCACACCACTCAGGGACCTGTACCGCTTCTCGAGACTTCTCCATCAAATTCTCCGGTTGTATTTAACATCGAAATGACCGCCACCCAACCGGCAGAGATAGTCGGTACGATTCCTGGTTCCGTTCTTCCTTCCGTCCAAGGACTAAATCTCTTTGGACTCGACACGACGTGCCCTCAAGGTATGCAAATCATCGATGGTCTTTGAGAGGTCTCTCGTCAGTGTAACACGGATGTTTACTGTTGAGTTTCCAGATGAACAACAACCCTCGAACATGGCTGCCTTAACTCGACCTGCCTCTTTGATGGACGCCGCTCAAGACTACAATATTCAGTGCATAGCACCAGTTGAGGTCCAACCTCGCACAGTGCTTGTGACACCTCATTCTCTACTTTCCAAAATTGTCGTCGCGACACCAGTTTTGGCTCGGACCACGCAAACCATCGAGAGCAAGGACATCGAGACGCCCCAAAAATGCGCTGGCGCAAGACCACTCATTCAAATTGCAGGACCTTCGGTTGGACCTACTGCAGAAGCTGTCGTACCGTCCATGATGCCTACTATCCCCAACGAACTTTCATCCCAGAAAGCACGCCTGGGCCTACAGCAATATGATTTTGTGTTTCCACATTTTCCCCTTGGCCAATTGCTATCCCCTGCCACTCACGCTCCCTCCCACAAATCACGCATAGACCGACAGCGATATAATTCTCTAATTCCACAGCTTCAATGTGACCAATCACCATCGCCTGCCCCCCATGAATCACCGCGATACCCACCTGGTCTGAAGCTTCCCGCAGATAAGAAGCCGGGGGTCCAAGCTGGGCACTTACGTTCTGTGCCATCTATACACCCTACACAGCAGGGATCCGTCTTCAAACTACGACAGGATGTTACCCAGCGGAACCTCGACAACGACGCATCGCCACGACCTCCGCGAGGCAATGTCGCACTTAACCTCGCCGATGTGTTCCCGACTCTTGGATCCAGTGCCTCGAATTTTCAGCTGTATAATTACCCACTGACACCGGAGGCAACACAGGCCAGTACTAGTCGTTGAAAGGATTTCGAACAATGGGAACCTTGCCTATTCCATTCAGGCAGGCGGTCACAAGTACGTCGCCACGGCACAGGTCGGCAGTGGTGGATTCGGTTATGTCTGGTACGCCATCAAGGACCAGAAAGAGGAGGTCGCTATCAAGGTCATCGACAAGGCTGGATTGCTTGCGCGATTTGTTTACTGTGCCAAGGACAAACGGCCAACCATGCAACAACTGCTCGCAGGCTCTCAAGTAGCGGCAGCGGCTATCAGCTCTGAATATGAAGCATTCAAGCGTGTCACCGAAGAGCGATCCCCATTTTTGACTCCTTTGTTGCATGCCTTCGAGGACGAGGATAATTTTTACTTCGTAATGGTGCGCTTTCCTGATTATCATCTGAATTCGTGTTGAACGGCCCCCAGAGGTTCTACCCGCAGACTCTTCGCACTAGGGCAAAATTTGGATTCATGCATTGGCAGTTGCGTCTTGTTGCTGCTGAGCTTGTAAGTATCTCCTATGTTCTGCATGCAAGTTCGATCTAACGTGTATTGCTGCTGCCAAAGCTTCTCGCCCTCCAGCATCTTCACAGACTGCGCGTCGTGCATTTGGACTTGAAGATGGAAAATGTGCTCGTAACTCCTTCCGGTCACATATGCATTGCAGATTACGGCAATGCTGAAGTCCTGGACCGCAAACTGACTTATCAGCAATTCCACGACGAGCGTATGTACGGTGCATCGGGTACCGACGGTTACCTTCCTCCAGAGCGAGTCAAAGGAGACCAGGGATATAACTTTAAGACAGACACCTGGACCTATGGTTCCATTTTACTGGAGCTTTTACTAATAAATGGCGGGGTGAGTAATTTTTTGTGGCTGTGCCGTCCTGGCATTAAAGCTTACTCGACTCGCAAGCATTGGTACTCTATATATCATTTTAGTGATGGAACACATAAATTTGGCAACGACCACAAGATACCAGCGGGTTACAATGAGGAACGCCGACTGGCTTTCATAAGACCGAACGATGAAATAGATCTCATCCAAGATAAGGACGCCAAGGATCTTCTCTATTCTGTATGTCTCCAAGTTCTTTTGTCGACGTTGACTTACACCCACATCAGATTTTCTTCCCCCAACACCATGCCATGAGGCCTGAGTCAGAGTCAATTCGCAGTCATCCGTTTTTCGCGTGCATCGACTGGGTGAAGTTAGAGAATCGGGGATACGATCGTAAGTTCACGACCAAGTCTGCTGACATGCCCTTGCTCACGCGCTCACGTCCCACTAGCCATGTTCAAAGCTTGCTTGGGCAACGCACCACTCCAATCTGTAGACTCTGGAAAGATTGCCATTGAATGCTCTCATCCTCGGCTACCAGAATTCAAAAAAGTTTTGCTCGAGCAGGCCAACAATAATTTTGCTCTCGGGCGAATGCACATGGACTACGAGTGCCCGACCGAATTGGCACACGATGCTATGCATGGAACGACTTGCAGGGCTCCAGGGACTAAGGTACCCCGGAGGCATGTTTGTCGATGTGACTTGCCTGCCGACTGGAATAAGGGTTGACATTTACCGGTTTACCACGAAGCATCCGCTTGTAAAATTGTATATTCCAGCTATTTATGATCGTTGCACTTGTAATACTATACATACTCACGAACGTCAATTGATGTGCACTTGAATTGAATTGAACGCGTAGGGGTCGCTGACATAATTCATCTTCCGAATTTCCTCTTGCCAAGTGGCCCAGTGACGTTTGAACTTTTCTGCTCTCTTCTTTCTACACAAAATGAACAGGTCTACGACAATAATGACCGTCGCAGGCGTCACAGTCGGCGGCGTCCTTGCATACGCTGTGTACTTCGACTACAAGAGGAGAACCGATGCCAACTTCCGCAAACAACTTCGTAAGTTTTCACCAGCAGAGTCTTTTGTTACGCAGTTGACATAGGGTTTCAGGGAAAGAAAAAAAGCGTGTCAAGCAGAGCCAGACACCGTCTGAATCTGGTCAGACTGCAACCGGGGGAGTGGATGCAAATGACTTGCGGAGCGCGTTGGAGAGCGTGCGCAACGAAGAAGTGCCACCTGGGCCAGAGGAAAAGGAACAGTATTTCATGAAGCAAGTTGGGATGGGTGAACAACTATGTGCGAAAGGTAATTAGTAGTTTCGTCTTGGGATGATTGCTGCTTGATTGGTTTTCAAGGTCCTGTCTACCACCTTCCTGCCGCGATGTGTTTCTATCGCGCGTTGCGCGTGTATCCATCACCCGTGGAGCTCATTGTGATTTACGAGAAGACTGTTCCTCCACCTGTTTTCCAGGTACGTCTGTTTTTTATGACTATCGATTGTGTTGACCTGGTCATCACAGCTTGTGATGGAACTTACCAATTTGGACGTGAGTAATGATCCTTCACTGGCAGAGGGGAAAATTGGACCACTGTCTGACGGGGAGGACGAATCGAGTCCCTTACGGGGTCCACCCTCGGAAGCATCCTCACAAGAGTGGGACAAGGTCACAGATCCGGGCAGTCAGACGCCTGCCCTGTGACTATGACTGCGAGTCACGGATATGCTAGCCCTGTAGCCTGCACCCTAACCCCTTATCTGTCAAATTGCATATCTATCTCTTTCTTGGTTGTTTCAATGGTATCTGATTCTGAGTTTTGTTTCATGTTTTGGTCGTCACCGTTAGGTCAAAGACCGAGTTGAAGGTACGCTGCTCGGGTGCGTGTTCTCAATGCAGGACTAAAGATGAGATAGGGTATTATACGTTCTTCCCGCCAAAGGCAATGAATGTCGCAGTTGAGACTGTCAATGTCCCTGATGGCAAAGGCGGAACTATGTCGAAGAAAGTCCTTGTCGTGACAAAAGATTTCAAGGCTGGTGAAGTCATCTATCAGGTAAATCGCCCGTTCCATGTCTCTTAAATCCGACCTCATCTTCTCCATAGGAGGATCCAATCGTGGCCGTTCTCGATGCCGATCTTCAAGGGAAAGGCACACATTGTAGTTACTGCCTGCGCCAGATCCAAAACGATCCCATCCGTCCGGAATCTGATCGCCTCCACAGTGTTTACTGCTCATCTGACTGCCTGACCCAGCACAAAGCACACTCGCAGACTCTGCTCTTCACGCTCGAGTCGCCATTGCCTGCCGCCATTGCGCCCGAAATGGGAGACACGCTACGTAAGGAGCGGGAAAATGCCCAAAAAGCGTTCGTCGAGTATCTCATACAGACCAAAAGGGCCGCACCAGAACTTGTGGCACGATTCGTTGCACGACAGGTCAGCGCGGAGACTGCTAAGATGTTGCCTCGCGGAATACTGCCTGGCGTCGCTTCCGAGCCGGTGCTGACCGACGGTGGGGAGTACTCGCTGTACGATCATCTCGAGCGCCTAAGATACCTCGAGGTGAAGCCCGCAGATAATGAGACTCACGTCTTGAAGGATGTACTGCAGACTGCGCTCCCGGGACTTGAACAATTCCTTACGGAGGAGCGGCATGCAACCTTTGTCGGGAAGATGTCGTACAACTCGTATGGAGTATACTTCGGTGAAGGAAGGGAGGACAAGGTGAGTTCGTCTTACGTTTTTGAGAATGTCATGTTCTTACATCACGACGTAGCCTGAGACAGCTGCTCGCCCTGAGAACACCGAGAAAACACGCACACCCTGCGGTACCTCCAAGCAGATCGGTACGGGCTTTTACGCAGTATCATCCTACGTAAGTTCCTAGTTCTTCTTCGATACACCTTTTCTCATTACACCGACCCCTAGATCTCGCATAACTGTGCACCCTCCGCTGAGCCTGTCTTCCCAACTGGCACTGCACAGCTGCAACTTGTGGCCACCTGCGCACTTCAGAAAGGCGACGAGATCACCGTCGCGTATGTGGACGTATCACAGCACTCTGGGGAGACACTCGAGGTAGCACGCCGGCGTCGCCGCATGGAGCTCGCGAGGGGATGGCGGTTTGCGTGCTCTTGCAGGCGCTGTGCTGAGGAAGGATTGGAAGGTGAGATCGAGGAAGGACTGGAAGGTGAGATTGAGGAAGGAGGGGACGAGAGCAGGGTGGAGGACATTGTGACAAGGGCCGAGGGGTCATAAGCGGATATGGATATTTCGGTGCGTAACGCGGCGACTCGGGGGCTGGTGGATCAGCAGATTCAGGATAGATTTATTGGCTCGTTAATGACTGCATGCATGGACCTTTTGATTAGCATATTACTTCTCACTCTTCACCATCGTGCGCCGTCGTCGGCCATGTCATTGCTAGCGCTGTCCTGTGTCTGATATACCCATGAGTCAACACCACTGGTGCAAGCCATCTGTAATTAAATTTAAAGGAGTTGCTCTACAATTGAGATACATTCCGTTTTGCTCATCATGGATCTATAAGCTCGGGAAACGATTATTGTGGCTTGTTATTTGAGCTCTGCAAATCAGGCCCATAGATATTTAGGTTCTTTCGTGTATTTATTCCACGATGTCTACATTCATCATACACCGCTTCCGCTCCTCACTGTCACGACGCGCCCTATATACGACTGCAATCAGGCATGTCGACCGTCCAACGGCGTTCACGAACATGCTTGCAGGGGATGTTCCGCCCCCCGTGCAAGTTAGTTCCATAACGTCGGCGGGTATCCAGCTCGCAGACGGGCTTATCCTCCCGTCTGCGTGCATCTTCCTCGACGGCAAGGTCCTCTTGTGGAACGTTCCCTCGCATCTATGGGACGGCTGGGGTCGCGAGCATCTGAGTGTATTCGAGACTGTTGTCCCAAAACCAGGTGCGTTGGGAGACTTGCAATTTACTGACCCAGCAGGACTGAACACGAAGTAGAAATATTGGTGTTTGGCACTGGGAGACGGATGGAGCTTCCGCCTCCGAGTATAAGAGGTTACCTGAAAGAGATGGGAATACAACTTGACATCATGGATACGGTGAGGTCTACTGCCTATACACTGCGAATGTAATGCTAATCTCGATGATTCCTCGGACTTCCAGAGAAACGCGTGCTCGACGTATAATTTGCTCGCGGAAGAGGGTCGGCGGGTAGCTGCTGCATTGCTCCCATACACCCCGCGCCCATGGCGGTTATAATACTGGCTGCAGTAATATGAGCTGACTCTTGCCTCGCCATGCTCTTCGTAGTATATCCTTTTCGAAAATTCATGCAGCATGAGATGACTATTCGGGTAGCGCCTTGCGTTTGCCTTTATTCACGGGAGGCTCTTCCTCCTCATCATCAAGGAGAGAAGGCTGCGAGACTTCAACTGGCGTCAAATTGCCTGGTAGAGATATCAAGATCAAGTAGCACAACAACGAATTTAAAGCTCGCGTAGTACACTCACCGTCTTCGTCTCTAAATTGAAAATATAGTACCTCCCAGTTTGTTAGGAGGCCTCTGATAGCCTTGTCTGCCTCGAGGGCCTCATAAATCACCCCTGACCTGCCCTTTTCCTTCCCTTTTATTGCGCGCGCCAGCTCAAAGTCGCTTGTGCTTTGGACGTGAGGGAAGCTGTCATCCTCAGTTGCAACGCGAGATGTGAGCGCAGAAAGTGCCTCATCCTTAAGCAACGCGATCGTTGCGGATTGGGGAACTGTTAGGAATATCGTGACTTGGTGGGTTTTGGCCAGGATTTGGTAGGCTTTTGGAGCTGCTCTTGGAGGCTGGAAATATTGTACACATCAGGGGTATCCTAAGTTAGCAGCTGTAGCGTGGACCCACCATCTTCCCTAGCTTGCTGTGCAAGTACTGTGCAGAAGAGTCTCAGCAAGGTGTGTCTGGCGGACACTAAAAGCGGAAATCTGAAAACGTTCCTCCGCGTGATCAAGGAAAAGTGCAAATTGTCGAAATCAGAGGTTTTCCGACATTCCGAGTTGTACGCGTGCGCGACGATCAATGAGCGGCTTTTCGCGACAGCGTCCCAGGGCAGTTCAAGCCCTACAATGGATCCCAACAAACCACTCCCACGGACCTTTCTGTTTCGCCGTTCCTAAGCTCGCGTAAGCCAGTGCCACGCCTCAGTCCGCTTCATTTTTTAATCGCAGCTTTACTGCAAAAGAGTATTAATTTAGGGCGTTGGAATCGATTAGCACTGGGAAGGGTGTGTTTATGAGATGGGTTAGATTGGCTAAGAGGAATCTTTTAAAATGCTTGCAAGAATGAGGGCCGGGAAGACCCCAGGGGGGAAAAAAACAACATAGCTCTGAAGGAGGGGCAAAGGCCCGTGTACGCTGTGTGGCAACGCGACTTGTGCGTTATCGTTCCTGTTGTTTTAATTTATTTCAGCGGCTCTGAGAAAACCGGCAAGTATTGACAAGATGCGGGAAAACTGCTTGAGCAGTTCGACGCGCACTGGAACTGCTTGGAGCTGAACAATCAGGTACGTAGGGTCTCGTAGTTGATCAATCACAGTTCTTACATCTACCCGTCATTTCTTAGGAATATTATGCCTGTAGAAAACCCGAGCGTACCTTGAACAAGTGCATGTTTGAAAAGCTCGTGCGTGTCTTGTTCATGTCACAATTGCTGCCTTTGTGCTAATGTCCGGTTACTTGTCAGGGCCTGACAAAGACGATACCTGGCACTCCAGCAGGGAAGAAACAGATACACGAAGTAGAGAAACCGATATATACCACAGTGCAGCGGTGAGGGCTCTTCCGGCATTTACTAGATTACCTGCGATAGCCTTGGGTCGATTATCTGTGCTGTTTTGGATCAACAGTGCTTCCTTTCCGCGGAATTTTTTGTGCGAGAAGCTTTTGAGAGATGATCTTCAGAATTGTAAATCATGAAAGCGTAGAAAGTTGTGATCACCTGTTAGTGAACATACGAGTCTGGTTATTGAGATGATGCAAAATGAGCGCTTGCACGCGTCCGAATACGAATGATCTCATTTTCGTTCCGCCATGTCGTGCGGGTGCTCTCAGCGCGCAGACTTTACACGACCGCATCAGGCGCAAGTTCAGTCATAACACCCACACATTCTATATACCTCAGCACGTCGACCAACCCATATTTCAATCTCTCGTTCGAAGACTGGTAGGCTGTTGGCTGCTCGGTATTCGTGACATACTAATCTGATCATTCGCTCGCTCTTGCACCGGAAATCTGATAATGATGCTGGCTTGACTCGTTCACGAATATATATCCAGGCTCTTCAGACACGCGCCTCAGAAGGAACCGTTACTCCTGCTGTATAGAGATGCACCGTGTGTTGTCATAGGACGCAACCAAAATCCATGGAAAGAGGTCAACCTCCGTGCAGCCCGTGCGCAAGGGATTCCGTGGGTGCGCAGGCGCAGCGGGGGCGGGACAGTGTACCATGTATGCTTCCATTACCCTACATTTATCCTGGCCATAATAAAACCCCCATACACCAACTTACTCCAACATTTCACAGGACCTCGGTAACACGAACTTCTCCATCCACGTCCCACGCACGACTTTTGACCGTGGCGCTACTGCGCAGGTCGTCCTCCGGGCTGTGCGTGCGCTCGGTATCGATGCAGACGTGAATGAGCGGAATGATATCTGTGTGGGAGGTGAGAAGGCGTCAGGCTCGGCGTACAAAATCGTGAGCGGGACGTGCGTACCACCACGGGACGATGCTGATTACTACGAGGCTTGAGACGCTGGGAGATTTGTTGAGGGTGGGCAAGGTACATTTTATTTGTTAACGATGAGACTTTCTTTGTCTCTGTGCTCTTTCGGTGCAAATGCTTTTTTGCTGATTGATATGTTGGCGTGCGATAGGACACAATGATTACGAAGGGTGTCGCGTCTGTGCGTTCGCCGGTGTGTAACCTCGCTCAATTCAGTGAAAAAGTGAGCCACGACGCGTTCGTGAATGCTGTCGTGGACTCGTTCAAAGCCGAATATGGCGTTCACGACGAGGTAACACCTTCTTATCCAATCACGTCTTACACCAACTAAACAGAGAGTGCTAGCCATGCATCATCAACGATACTGACGACCTCGCGCGAATAGGATACATTCAACGCGGGATGGCGGAGCTACCTGTAAGCTCCCCTTTATTATCTGCACGCGGTTATATGACCCCTTCTTGCAGAGCTGGGACTGGGCTTTTGGCCAGACTCCCGAATTCGAGTACACGATCAAGAAGTCGTTCGTGTGGGGCGATGTCGTAAGTCCGTTCCTTTCTGTTGCTGCATTTCCTGAACTCTGTACCAACAGACAGCACACATCCACGCTCGACATGGGACGATTCTCTCCTGCACGCTGCAAGGGTTGGACTCTGAGCTTGGAAAGGCTCTCGAGGGCAAGCGGTATGGGTTTATTGCAGACGAAGAGCTGGGTGTGGATGTAAGTGGAAGGGAGGAGGTTGTGTGGGCGTGGCTGAAGGAGGAGATGAGTTCCTATGAATGATACCTTGTTTTCAGTAGATGTATGAAAACGACAGTGCTCGTGGATATGGATATAATGTGAACTTGCGAACGTAGAAATCTGGCGATGCTAGTAAATACGTTTCGGGTGCTTTCACAGATTTTGTTCTAGCGCAAGAATATTTGTTCCTTTTGCAGGAAATCCTCCAATAATAGGTCCCTACCCACCGAAAGCTGGCGTGCAGTATCCATCTAAAGAACAAATTCATTCAAGGTAGTATGGTATGTGGTATCGCTATGATGTAGCTTCCGTGTACCAAGCGCTACTCGTCTCGAAACCTTCCGGAGGTGCCGGATTTGACTAGAAAAGTGCATGATATTTATTCAAGCATGGATGCAAGTGTAAAGACAGTACATACAGATTGCCCACGTATGTGTCCTGTTAGCCGCCTATCACGGTCCATCATCATCTCGTCCCAAGAATCGATGTGGTATCGAACAGGCTAGAAAGTTGCCAATTTGTCCAAGCGAAATGGATTATGCGAATTACAGCAGACAATGAAACAGTCAGATACTGGCGATATTCATAACTTCATAAAACAGATTCTAAACATACCTTGCCTTGATTCTGAGCCCTCTTGGAAACATTCAAGAGTGTTCCGGCCGCTGCAAACATTGAAGTGAGCAAGCCTGCAGTGTCATTGAGAATATGATATCATCAAGTCAGCAAAGTATCCTCTTGGATATTGGGAGAGCATACCGAACGGAATGAGAGCTTCCCACGGGACAGGCATTGCAGAATGTGGTTCGGTGATCAGAAGTGTTATGCATTTGAGTTGGTGTTTGCGGCAGAGGTTGGCGTCTCCGATTTGTTTGGTCTCGTTTGTTCTTATTCTACAAGAGCTCCAGACTTCAAGCTACTTGATCGTAGCTCATTTCGTTCAGAACGTTGACGCTCCACCTTCTCAATGTAACGGTCGCAGCGCCAAAAATCATACTAGGCAAGCATTTATGTTTGGACGTGGCACTACTACAAAATATATCTCGGGATCCACTCTGAAATACCCTGATTCCTTGGCAAGTAAGGTACCAAGGTATCCCAATGTTGCGAGGAACTTTAGAATGTGCCCTCTTCCTTTGGAACCGGCAAGCATAGATGTTTAATGCGCCAGCAGGGCTAACCACAAACTTTGAACGTCACAACCATATGGGCAGGATTGTGTCACTTCGCCACGTCGCAAGTGCTACCACGCGCTTTGTCATCACTTGAGGTGCTTCCTTGTGAGAGCTTTCGGGAGGTAATTACACCCCTTTGATATCACTGCACGGCCGAACCTTTTCTTCCCCCCTCTATCATGGTGTTAAGCCTCCAAAGTGTTACCCAACTCCTCTCAGGTAATTTTATTATCTAGTCATTGATATTGGTGTAGTACCTGACACATCCGTTGACAGGCGATACCATGCCCGTTATCGGGCTCGGGGTTTATTTGAACGATGAGTGCGCAATGGCTTGCCAAGTTGCCTTGGAGGAGGGGTATAGGTAATTCGTCTGTCTGTCGGCAAACGTAGTCGAGTAGTCGACTCCCAATAACCGAGTCAACTGATGATACTAATATCGAAGGATGATTGACTCGGCGAGGTACTACATGAATGAAGCACAAGTAGGGGTGGGCGTCCGACGAAGTGGAATCCCCCGCGAGCAAATATTCATTAGTATGAATTTTGCTGATGCAGGATAGTTCAGTCGTTAATTCGAGATATTGACAGCCTCCAAAATCTACCACGTCGACTTCGGTTTCGCGAGGGCCCGCGAATGTATCCAGGAGTCAGTAGACCAGCTTGGTCTGGGTAGGTCTTCATTAACTTATATATCAACGTAATGCCGAGAACATTGCAAGGCTATTACGACTTGTACTTGATCCATTCTCCGTTAACTGGGAAGGAGAAGCGGGTCGCGACCTACAGAGCTCTCGTTGAAGCGAAGAAGGATGGTCTCGTAAAGAAGATTGGTGTTTCAAATTAGTGGGTTCATCGTTTCTTGATATCGGCTTAGCCTATGTATTGAATTTCTTGATAGCTCCGGAAAGCACATCGACGAAATTATTGATGCTGGATTGGAGTTGCCTGATGTCAATCAAATTGAACTCCACCCGTTCTGCCAACAAAGACCTATCGTTGAGTATTGTCGGGCAAAAGGCATCACAGTACAGGCATATTCTCCGCTTGTCACGGGCCGAATGGATCATGATGTATTTAGACAGCTTGCAAAGAAGGTTTGCTTATCTCAAAAATCTTTTTTATATGCAAGCTTACGTTGAGACAATCCGCCCGCAGCACAATAAGGACGAGGCACAAATCCTCATTCGGTGGTCGCTGCAAAAGGGGTAAGCATCTTCATGGCAAACCTTAACTCAGAACTTATAAATCCTTTAGATACATCCCCCTTCCGAAATCTTCCCGTTCGGAGCGCATCAGTTCTAACGCCCAAGTCTTTAACTTTGAGCTGGATAACAATGACATGGATGCACTCGATGCACTCGATCAAGGTGGGAAAGGTGCGGTAACATGGAATCCGGTTGAGGAGCCATAATATGAAATGGACTACAAGAGTGTTACTGTCGGGTCAATGCCAAGTTGAACGAATTTTTATTTTCAATCTAACAGGGTGTGAAAAAAGTCTCAGTACACAGAACAGATTGACACGCCCCTATCCTTCCCAAGGAAGGACCTTCTTCAAGAACAACCTCAGGTCCTCCATCTCAGATTCAGCCATCCAATGAGCTACGCCGTACGACATAAAGCTTACGCCCGATTCTCCCACCTTCGTATATTGTCCATATCTGACTTCCAGTTTATCTCCTATGAACCTGGCTGACTCCCAGCTCAGATCCCAGGTCACAGATTCATTCTGCACTCCATGACCCCAGAACACGGGTATCGTAGATGCGTGCATGGACAACCGCTGCAAACACAACTAAGAAATCTCGCTACATTTGAAAGATTCCTCTCACCTTTTTGTATTTTTCCCGCATGGGGAGCCAACCGCCCAGACATATGATACCTCCCAACTTCCAACCATCTTTCGTATCGGATGTACCCCTCCACTGACTATCACCCAAACCTGTGATCAGGGATATCGCGCCTCCTTGGCCAAATCCCCCTAGCACGATACGTCCTCTGAAATACCTGAATTGATCTCAGACTGGATAAAGGCATCTAGATGCTTGACGCTTTGCATAATTCCCTCATCGTACTCCTTAATGTCATCGTGTTCCGACGAGTACATCAAAGGCTCCCGTAAGACGTCAAACCAGCCCCTAGTTGAACTTTGCCTTCTCGTATCTCCTTTCCATGCAGTAATGGAGCGCTCAGGTGCATTAGGGAACACCCACTTGATGTGTGGAAGCTGGGATGCGATCGTGCGCATCTCCTTGTTGTTTGAGAACTCCAGGCCATTATCTCCTAGTCCCTATGAGCACGTCAAAGATGAATATGTCCCTCTCGCGACATGCCACAACACGTACATGAGCGAATATGACTGTGGCGGTGTGCTTCGTCTTTGGGGTTATGGTCACAAAAGTCAGTGGTAAAGACATCATCTCACAAGACAGAACAGTTTTGGAGGAGGAAAGTGTACTGCATAAAAGAGCCACGTGTAGGAAACTTGAACCCCACTCTGCGCCCACATTCTCACTGACAGGATGTGGTGGGTAAGGATGCTGTGATCTATGCCTGCCACGTGTCGATACAACATTGAGATACGGCGCCGGATTGCATAGGGGTTGTTCGCACACGAATATCTCGCAAATATCGGGCACAATATTCACGTCAAGCAAAGGGAGAGCAAATACAAACGCATAATTTGTCTCCAAATTGTCTAATGGACCGGATAACGAATGCAAGCAGAAACAGGCGCCGAACATACGAATGGAACCAGAACCAGATCTATGACGCTAAACTCTTGCAACATTTTGCTTTACAGGTTCTGGGTTTGCTACAAATACTATACTGTTAGTGTGTATTTGATTGAGGTTCATTTAACCGTACCTGCTGTGGTATGACAGTTCCCAAGAATGTCACCAGGTCTTCCATCTCTTTCTTGCATGAAGCGTGGCCCACACGTTCATATGACTTGAAAGTTGATTCCCGGAGTGCCAAGTTGGTCATGAGCACCGTGCTTCACGATACCGAGTTGATCTTGAAGCAATTCAACTGAAATCTCCCCCACTTTATAATATATCACCGCATCTGCTGTCCCATGTCCCCATAATACCGGAATAGATTTGGCGAGCGGGGAAATGCGCTGTAGGATTGATCAGTATCACCATGTCATGTGAGAGAAGAATTCATGACAGCATATTACTACTGACCGACTTAAACTTCTCTCTGAGTGGCATCCAACCGCTCAGCACGATTACACCAGCCAGCTTGCTATCATCCCCGGAACTCTTCGTTCTCCAGTCTTTACCACCCAAACCCGCCACCAACGCCAGGGCTCCTCCTTGACTGAATCCACCCACTACGATACGACTTTCTGGTATTCCAGCCTTAACCTCTGCTTGAACCAGGTCATCTATGATCTGAACACCGTCCTTCACGCTCTCGTCATCCTCGCATACTTTGCTCAAGTACTGCCCAGGTTGAAGCGGTAGATTTGATATATCGAACCATGAGGGCATCCGAGTGCCGAAGTTTGCTGTGACCGCTTGCTCCGGCGCATCTGGGAAGATCCATTTGACATGAGGAAGTTGGGCGGGGATTGTCAGTTCACCGGGTTTTCTGTAGTCGTAATCGCCGCTTATCGCTGCGCGCCAACTTTCTCCCTCGTCGCCGAGACCCTGCAAGATTGAATCAGCATATTATCTCTAGCACGATCGAGAATTGGTATTGTGGACACGCATGAGCAAAGATGACGGTTGCAGTGTGCGCTGCGGTCGGCTGGATGATGGCTGACGGCATTTGATGTGGATATCTATGTGGATAGGTGCAGAAAGTTCGCGCCGCCAGCGATATGAAACATTGCAATCCACGTGAACTAGGCATGGCTAATAGCATTAATTAATATTGGTGATGTGGCCATATAGCGGCTGCAATTTGGGCTTGGTCTGACTCTATGAAGCTTCTAAGCGAAGCTGAACATATGACAATAATTCAACTTGCCAGGGAGCTCGTTTCGAATAACGATTATACGTTCAAGCCATGTCCTATGTTACTGTATAGTTCTCCCCTAGTGGTCTACAGCCTGAGGCGAATAGACGTTACCCCTATTCATAACCATGCCCAACGCACATGTAGGTCTGAACTTACCTGAAAAACTCAGGAAGGACGAGTATGTACTATGCTTGGCCAAAAAATGAATCAAACGCGAATTCATCGTGCACAAATATGCATGGCAATTTTGATCGCGTGATAGTCACACGATTCGGAAGGATGGATACGGAAAAAAAATTAACCAAAGACTTTCACTAGAAGCAAGCGGCTTGCGATGGAAAATATATCCCAATATGTTGGTTCCGCGGCAACTGTATTGAATCATGTCACATTGCAGCACCTGATAAGAGTGCAGGTGGAGACATTATATTACGGTGGAGACATTATTGACATGCCATGGATAGCGCTGGTTGGGGTCCAGAGCTGGAAACCTCGTCATCCTGGTCATTTTCTTCTCCATCTTCGCTCGAAGCCACCACCTCAGCTCCGTCGGCATTCTCCTGGTCTTCCTGACCTTCATCTGCTTCAACATGCTCTCCCTCAGGGGATGCATCTGGATTGGTCGTTTTCCTTTGGAACTTCCTCTTTGGAATAACGCTCCAAAACGCCTGCTCCCAGTCCCGTGTTTCAACCCACTTCAGTAATATTTCGAATACCTATAGGTAAACCGGACAGCCTTCGCTATCAGAAAGACAAAGGACGGAACAAATAGATGTCACCTGGTTGACCGTGAGCACCTTCCTCGTTGTTAACGATGCTATATATCGGCCTATAGGGAGGCGTGCGTGTCGGATGGATGACGTTTTGGCTTTTTCAAGGCAGAGATTCTAATATATTTTGTTAGATCAGGGTGGAGGAATTACGGGAGATTTGAGGAGCAGATCGGAGAAGGCGAACATAGGGTCGATGAAGAATGATAACGGCTCCATGTTCTGGTTTTTCGAAGGGATCCACCCGCCCAGGCTCTTTGTAGTTCTTGGGTACGATAATACCGAACCGGGTATGAATTTTTCGAAGTACATACCTTGTATCGGTTGTGGTCGCAAATACCTCCGATAACGTATATTTCCCCCTCCTTAAGTTCCATGAGCTCTTCCTCGGAGTCAGCGGTCAGATAAATCACACTCGCGCGATGTGCATCCAAGTCTTCATCTCCGCCGCAAGAATCGGATTTGGATGTCCATATACGATCGTAACCTTCCTCCCACCATTTTGTGTTCGCCCATCGCTTGTATCCAGCATCGTTTATGGCATCTAGCCGCGCCTTTGTTCGCCCATTGAGGGATGTAAATAATAGTGATGTAAACGGAGTAGATGACCGTCGATTCGCGCTGTATGTATATGTCAGTTGGGAGGTTAAAGAGGTCACTTCCTGTAGGTATGCTCGTGCCAGTACAATAATGCCGACGATATTCGTGCGCACCTTGTCCGTCATCATGTCATCGAAACCCAGATCTATTACCACTTGCGCAGCAAATGAGGTTTGATCAAATCCACCCATCTTACGACGCTTCCGTGGCTCCGCATCGCCTGCTTGTGCACGCTCTCGTCGCTTGCGTTTTTTCGCCTCCTTCTCGCGCGCACGACGTTCAACTTTTTGTTCTTGTAAGCGAGCTGCTTTTGCAGCTCTCTTCTGGGCTTTCTTTGAGAGTGGTTGTAAGGTGATAGAATCTTCTTCGGCCTGGACAATCACTGGCTGCTCCATGATGATCATTGTCTGAGCTTCGATCCCAGCCTAGGGATTCGGTACCAATTACGTCAATGGTTAAGGTTGAATTGCGACCGCGGCCGGGGACCGCCGGCACTAGTACGGGATTAATTTAGATAAGAGATCGGTAGACGGTCAAATATAACGATCAAATATGCCACAAGCAGCTATTGGGAGGGTTGTCACTCCGGTAAAATTCTTTAGACGTGGTTCACTCGACATTTTTCACCTCCACTCCCAACGATGTCAATAGTCACGTTGCCTTTCCTAGTGGTACAGCCAACCAAAGCACATACTGCAACAGTGATCTGTTTACATGTAGGTCCACTTTCTCACCCCGCATAACCTTCAACCATTTGCAACAGCGTTGCGCGCTCAATACCTTACTTCTTCTGTCACTAGCCTGTTTCGTCGTTCACGCTAACCACATGGCTCACAGGGTATCGGCGATGATGGCAGAGGATGGAATCCCCTGACAAACGAGCTTGCACTTGCCCTCCCGCACGTAAAGTGGGTTCTCCCCCACGCACCTCAACGACCCGTAACAGTGTATAATAAAGAATGGCTCCGTGCCTGGTTCGATATGCCGTCTTTTTCCTTCACCGAGACTGAGGACGCATCGGGCATGTTGGACTCGGTATGCAAACTAGACGCGCTTGTCAAGGCCGAGGTCGACGCTGGCATCCCACAAGAACGTATTGTCCTAAGCGGCTTTTCGCAAGGTGGTGCAATAGTACTCCTTTCTGGTCTCGGCGGGCGCGCAGTGCACGAGGGAGGTGAGGGCTGGAAACTTGCAGGAGTCGTAGTAATGAGTGGGTGGCTGCCATTACGGGACCGTTTCAAGTCGCTCATCTCCCCGCACGCGCTAACGATGCCAGTTTTTTGGGGTCATGGAACAGACGACCCAATTGTGAGATATAGCTTCGGGCGAAAGTCGGCGGAGATTTTGAAGGATCATGTCGGCTTAGCGCTAAGGTGGGGCGACAAAGGAGAGGCAGAACGCGCGGCCTTTGGGAGCGCTGGTGTGAGTTTCTTGGGGTATGATGGCGTGCTACACGCAACATGTTCCAAGGAGCGTGCTGACCTGAAGGAGTTTTTAAAAAGAGTAATCCCTGACAACCATGCTGGATGAGATAGGGGTTATTAGACCGAGATGATGTTATCATTTGCTTTCTTGTTCTTCATAGGTTGCATACCACGTTATAGTTGAGATTGTAGGATTTCATTAATTCTTAGCAGGTGAAAGTCAAATTCGACAGTCGATGGTCGAGATCTGATGTCGAGTATATAAAATATGTTAGCAATAGTTCGAAGCTAGAATGAGATTCTAGTCTAAAACGATAGCGCGAGAAACTAGAGCACATCTTTGAGATTGGTCTGGGCTGATCCACGTTCGAGGGGCTTGGGTTGATTGGGCGAAGGCTTCCAGCCAATCTGAAATAGAATATGAGGTAAAAGCTTATCAAAGGGGTATTTGAATATACCATGTAGATTATCTGGAATGTTGCTGGAACGGAGCCGTCTTCATTTCCGTGCAGTTCTAGTTGGAAGAATTAAATTATGTAGATTATCCACTGTGCTGTAACAGACCTTTATAAATAGCTGAGGCAGCAGCTAATGTATCCCTGTGCAAAAAGTGTCGCCTACAATGTTTCAATAGGAAACAAAGATGCGTGCATCGAAATAGCTCACCGCCCAACAACAGGCGTTGCTCTCACCCATGTCGCGCAGATCTTCGAGAAGCTCCCACATGCTCGGGTACCCAACGCGTACTTCATCGATATCTACAGTGAGTAGAGTGAATCCCGCACGAGAGAGAAGGTTCGAGATATCTTTAGTGTCTATACAAAAAGCAGATTAGAGCTGATAAAACAGTAACGATGCGAGAGTGCATAAATGAGTTACCTGTCATGGGCGAAATATGTGGCGAGATGCCGCCCTCGCGATCTACTTCCGCAAGCTGAAGGGCAGTCCTGTGGAAAAAAATGTCTTTCAACAGCGTAGAAAACCGCATACATCTCTTACCGGAGCTCAAACAAGGTATCCCCGCCAAACATGGCGCCTAAAAAGAGCCCATCAGGTTTCAGGGCTTCCTTTATTTGTACAAGCACGCCTGGTAGGTCGTTCACCCAGTGGAGGCTGAGGCAAGACACAATAGCCTCTTGAGAGTTACGAGGAAGAACGTCAAGGAGATTCTCTTCATCTGCATGTACACGCTCTACTTCAACTGTGGATCGCTCGTATTATTGTCAGGGCGTTACCCCGGTGAAATAACATAACGTGCCTTCGAATTCTTCGTCCGGATCTCGGTTGAGCGTGGTCTCTGATGATAGTTAGCTAAGAAATAAAGAACCAGAAGTAAAGAGCGGACCGCTAGAATCTATCATGAGTACTTTGCGCGTTTTTTCAGGCTCGAGGAGCTTGGAAAAGTGACCAGGCCCCGAACCAAGGTCTACAATGGTATCGAATTTGCGTTTGATATCCTACACATGAATCGTTCAGTTAAGGTAGAAGGAATAAAACAAGTCAACTGACCAGTAGTCTCTCCATCATTCGATCTGCAACTTCATCCCGGACATAATCTACAGTCCTGCTCCCTACACCCGCATCTCTGCTCACTGCCCGATCTCTCTGCTTCCTCTTAGCGGCCCGGTCGAATACTTGATATACCCCAGTTGCTGGCGGAAATGATGAGGATGATTCGGAGGCGAATGCACGCGTACGAGGACGTGCTACCTGACAGGCAACCACTCGAAGGAAGGACATCAATCACTTTTGGCTCGGAAGCATCCGAACTGCGCTGGGTAGCGTCTACGCGTGACATGCAACAGTCACAAGACAATCACGAGCGTGTCTCCTACTTTAATTCTTTCATTGTCTTTTTGGTTTACTTTTGCGGGTTCGGGGCTCCCGCTCTGCAATTTTTCGTTCGACTTGCTCGATAGTGGGATATCGCGACAATGAACAACGGCGGTCAATCCAACTCGAGCTCAGATTATCGTGCCATGGCCCCGTTTGTCAACCCTCAAGACTCGTACGCGTCACGCAAGGCCAAGATCGAGGAGGCTAAACGAAAGCTAGTCGAAATGGAACTACAAAATGATCTGGAGGAGGCTGTAAGACAAGGGCGGGAGGCTGAGTGAGTGCTTTGCTGTTGAACGGCGTTGTGGCTAATGCGCCAAAAGGCAGAGACTGGCAGCAATGAAAGCCAAGGCAGCGGAAATACCGTGAGTGAAGAGATTTCACAACACTCTGGTGATTAACATATGTGATCACTCCACTAGCATCGTGACCGGGCTTTCATCAGCAAGCGGCTCTGTGCATTATCCTAATGCAGTCTATCAGTCTGCGGAAGAAGCACCCTTGACAGCCAGAATCGAAGGAGAAGTACGCGATTCCCCTCCAAATGTACTGCTTGTGTTTGCTGTGTCTTCTGTAGTCTCACTCCGTACAGTCCTCTAGGCCGCCCATACAAATGACACATAACCACCAACGTAACTACCCAACTACCAATCAGTCACAACAGACAGGATTTCAGGGGGATATTCCTCAAATTTCAACGCAGCCACTGCTCCAGAGGCCATCCTTTGCGCAAACACAATCACAGGCAGCAGCACGGTCCCAAAGCTCGCATGCACCATATCCTCTTGCCCCCTCATTTGCTGTTCATGGCTATCAACATTCACACCAAGCCTCGTCTACGCCCTATCAGACCACGTATCAGGGTGACCAGCCTCATCAACAGCCGCGGTCTAGACATAGTGCGTAGAATTTTGTCCATTAATTTGACATGGCTATACTCATTGCGTCTGTGTTCTACCTCAAGGTGAGGAATATTGGGCAAAGCAGAGTCAAAAGTATGCGGCAGAGCTGGCTGGTGCAGGTGCGCAAACTTCGCCAGTAGGTGTCAAACCTCAAGCAAGCTCATTTACTGGAACAGGGATATCCCATTATGCCACTCAAGTTCAACATCGAGTAGCTTCCCCAGCTGCACCGTCCGTCGCGACTATCGTCTCATCGACTCAACATCCGTCTTTGTCATCCGCAGAACCACAGACTACTAATCGTCAATCCTCAGGCAACCTTGCTCAGTCCGTCATCACGAAACCAGAGTTCATTCGGCGGTTCCAGTTGGCTTGCAACGTAGGTTGTGACGCCGGTGAATTCTGTGCCTTCCTTTAAATATTTTCTGACAGGGTAAGGCGCAAATCCTTCGAAACTTTCTGAGCTCGAATCCTGTGGCTGTGGAATGGTGGTCTGAAGCTGCGCGCAGCGTCAATCCAAAAAATCTCAAAGACGAGGGAGTAGTCAAGATGCTTAATGACATGAAAAATCTTACGTGGTCTTCCTTTCATCGAGGCAATTCTTCAGCCTCTGCCAGTACCGACGTTCATGTTCCTACAGCAATCTCGGCAACATCTGTAGCCACAGTTCAACCTTTGCCCCCGCCTACGAATCCTCCGTCCGCTCAACAAATGCTAGCAAGTCTCGGTTCAAAGGAAGACTTCGTGCGATACTTCCATGAACGATTTCAGGTACGTCCCTTTGTACGCCGCTGACCTGACCTACCGAGTTTGACGATTTTATCATCCTCAGCGAGCAGACGTGAACGTGATTGTCGACTTCCTCATGCGAAAACTGCATTCCGTGCCGGAGGAGTGGCGGAGGGCGCTCCTCGGCACTCTAACTCCAGAGTTGTTAAAGGAATTTGGTCATGCATTGACTCGTGCAAAGGCTTCAACAGCTAGCAAACATTTACCTGCGACTAGTACTACGATGCCGGATGCCTCCTCCAATGGTGTGCCGACCGTCGCGCAGCAAAGTCGAACCACTGCTGCCAGCAATGTTGTTACACCTGCAACTATGCACACTACATCTGAGTCATCAAAGTCGATTCCCGTACCCCCCAGACCATCTGTTACCAAAAGTACGCAGGTTAAGTCCACGAATGCACATCCCCCCAGGGCGTCGACTTCAAATCGCACTGTTGCAACTACCGTCGCTGCATTGGCCACCAAGACAACCCCTGCACCTCAAGCACAAGCATCCGTATCGACTACGCAGACGGCGCCTTCAGCGCCCTCAATGCAGCCAGCTATATCTCTGACCGGGACTAGTATATATGGACAAGTGGAGGGCAGTGCTTATCGCCCATTCAGTGTACCCCCTCCAATGAGTATACCAAGTGCCGACGGCAATGTTGCTCAATACGCGTATGATCCGTATTCGAAGAAATACGTGCGGGTGGATATTCCGAATGAGCACACAGTATCGTCAGGATCGAATGCGGGTACACATCACCATGCCCCTGTGTCAAAAACATATGATGGGCAGCAGCCGCCAGCTCTCGTGCCCCAGGGCATACCAGTGTCCACGCAAGCTCCACCCACCGTATTGATCCCGCCCGCTACTCCACTACGACGGGAACAGAATGGAGCTGCCCCAGTGGCGCGCACACCGCAACAGGCCGATAGGTCGCGGCTCGCAAAAGATATCCTACGGTCATTAGGAATAAACCCGCCACCCGCGACGGCGGAAGAAGAGGAAGAGGCTGATGAGGAAGCTGACGTATCACCGGGAAATTTACCAGCAACCGTAGAGCATCAGCAGGAGACACCACCATCTCGTAACTTATCAGCTGAACCCCTTCACGAAGCCCCACAGGAGATTAGCCTTTTGCAACCTCCTTCGAATGGTTTGATGGAACAAGAACAGCAGCCTCAAACACAAACACGGCAAAGTCCTATCAAGGAAGCCGTTGCTAATGACATAATCATGGGTGATGAACCAGGTACTACTACTCCCGAAAAGGACACTGCCTCCCCCGAATTCTCAATACCTGCTACTACACTATGTCCAGCATCCGCGTCTATGGATCAGGAGGAGTTGGCGCGTGGAGTTGATGGAATGTCGATAGCCACTAATGTGCACCGTTCCGAGCCTAGTCGAGAAGATGGGCCTATCGACAGTCCCATATCATTCCCAGATCTTGATGAGCCTCTACCGCCTGCGCTTGAACCTGTGGGCATCTCATCTTCCGCCCCCAGCTTCAGGGAGCAATCGCGCGAAAAGAGTGGGGACAATGGGAGTGGAGCTCTTCCGCTTTTCCTGCCGTCGCTGTCGGCATCACCTGCACCCTCTGACCATTCTAGTGTCCCACTTCCACCGGAGACGGACGATGAGGTTTTAATGACAGAATCCATCCTGCGTGGTGGTTCGCCTTCTAAGAGCCGCGTAGATTTGTTGGATGTCGATCACGCACGGACATCACTACGAAGTGTGAAGAGGAAGAAAGGTCAAAGGGTCTATGTGTTAGTACCACCGCCTCCTCCTGAGCTTAGGAGGGCTATCAAGAAACGAAAGCTGGAGGATCAAGGCATAGTCTCTGGTTCAGAGGAGGAAGAGTGTACGAGTTTGTTCCAGTTCGGGTGATTTTTTCTGGCTTATGTTCGTTGCAGCCAAATACAATGATTTCGAACAAGCCCTCATCGCGGACTGCAGAGTCCGAATGGTTGAGAGACCCTGCCAATGGAATGGATGTGACGCTCTGATAAACTGCGGCGAGAACCTCTATTTGCATCTCAAGTTGCACTTGCAAGAGACTAGCTCTCAGGCAAGTGGATTTTTGACGGCAAGATCAGGTGACTCACCAATCATCTCAAGGGGTCCTTTATATGCCACTGGCAGGCATGTCCTCGGAGGTTCAAGTCGGCAGCAGCTTTGGAAAAACACCTACAGAAACATTCATACTTCCCTCTGCCATGTCCTCTTGCAAGTACGTGTGACCTGACAGTCGCTTGCTATATTCGATTGACCTGCCTCAGATTGTTCAGATGTTTTCGATAAACCAGTTGAGGCGATGGGACATGAAGTGCGCCACCAGCAACAGGAATCAATCAAGAAGTTGGAGATGAAACAGCCCCCAAAACCTCTCGCGCCAAAAATACCTCCAATGCTAGATCCTCCTCCCAATAGTCTGCCATCTTACCGTGTGGAACCGAGATACATTCGCCAGGCTCATATCCCACCACAACGCCATGCCGTGATTGGTCCTTGGGTGAGTCTCATTAGAGACGCTAGGTATACCCGCGCTATGACTGATATGATGATCAAGGTTCTTCAACACATATTTAGCCCTGTCGAACAAAATCTGAGAAAGCAGAACGCACCAATGCGACTCCGGTACCCACGTCCCGACGCTCGTCCGGAGAACCTGGATAATTTGAGGGCAAGACCGGACGAATATGACTTCCTGGCATCACTGTCGACATCGCCAACGCGAACGATCCGATATGAGGATCTTGATTCTGGGAGTGTGTCACTGGCGCTGCTTGATGGGCTCACACTTTGGGATACGGATGCAAATAGCGATCGAGAAAAGTCGAATCCCGAAGGGGAGGGCTCTGATCCGACAGAAGACATGGTGATCAAGATGCCAGAGGGAGGTGCATCTAGTAGTTCTGTTCCCGTGGAAGGATCTGGCAATTTACCGGTGGGCGAGGCCTCGACCACGATGGACGGGATGAATGGTGGTTACTGGACTACGGAGGGCGCCGTAGGGGAAGAAGAGGCTGTGAGGATGATGTTATGGGATTGATGTCGTTGTTAGTGCACACGCACGGTCCTTAAGGGCCTTAAGGAGGGCCTCCACATATTATTAGCACTGGTTGGATGGCATTGTGGACGGTGCTGTCTTGTGTAATTAGGACGAGGGATTGAAAATAATTTTGTTGAAGTGAAAGTCTTATTTTGGAGAAATTTCCTTGGTGATGAGAAGCGTGATCGCAATCTGAAACCGAGCTCTAGGCGTCACTACTTTGGCCGCGTGATTCTCCTACGCTCTCCCGCCTGTACATTATGATCGAGCCCATTGGTGCTTACGGTGAGCTCGACACGACGCTCTTCTCCAAATATATGGCCGTTGACCAGTTCACAATAGTTCCAACTTTTATTTCGTCTCGTTCTGCCGATGTTATCCTGTCCGACATTCGTCCTACTAAGTTAACTTCCGACGCTCTCAACTCCGTCAATGCCCTACTGGACGAGTTACTCTGTAGCATACTTAATGCAGCTCGGTCGTTCAACCCTTCCCGACTGAGGACCGCAATGCACAAAGTTCTACCGACCGCCCTGGGCAAAGAAGCTATACTTGAGGCTGAGATGGAACTCAGAGCGTACTATCAGCGTACAGTTACTGCTGTAGGCTCGGGTTCGTCGAGCGAGGATGGCGTTTTCAATTTGCAGTGGGCATCCGAGGTGCGTTTTATGGCATTGTGTTACATTCACTCGAAGCTCAATACTGCTGTGTACAGCTTCTAAGACTTAAATGCGAAGCATATTCGACTTTAAGCGATACAGACGAGAATTCAGATGCCGAAAATCGCCTGAAGGAACGTATGCTTGCAGATGGTGTCCCTCCTCCCAAGCAGGAAGTCCTTTCACCAGCCTCACTCTATCTAACTGCCATCATTGAGTAAGTATTCTCCACTGTTATTCAGAGTTCTTGGATTGATAACCTCTCGTTAGGTCCATATGCGAGTGAGTCTTGTATTCAAGTTCTTTCGAAAGTGACGTTCCTGGTCCTAAGCTCATACACATGACAGGCACATTCTGTCAAACGTGGGACGTGTCGCATCACGAGATAGTAGCCGAGCAACAGCTAACTCTCAAGATTTATTCATCGCACTTTGCGAAGATAGTACGATATATGGTTTTTTCAAGAATATGAAGGGTTAGTTCATTTTTGCCCGAATATTGTTTGGCACATTGATGACGTGTTTTGTCGCTTCTAGTCTACGGACAAATTGAGACATTGTCAAAATTACCGAAACCGAGACGAAGTAAATCTTTTACCCGGGAAAAGTTGTCGGGTGCGACATCCTCGGCGTCCTCTCGCGAGGGAGATGCATCCCGAAATGACACCTCACGCCATCGCATGTCGTCAGAGTCATCTAATATCGGACCCGCCATGGTTGCGGGCTCCAATCATCACTCCGCGAGATCATCTATCGACAAGGCACGCGCGATTAAAATATTTAGTGGCAACAGCAATAGAGGATCAAATGACCATCCAAATGGTACTGACTCTGTAGTTGGTCATAGGAAGACAGATTCGTTAGTGAGCGCGAATGCGAAGCAATCCATCCATAGTGGGGACAGGTCTCCCATTTCGCCAACATTTTCCGTGCGACTTCCACTGCTTCTCTATTATGGATGCGTTGACTCATAATGCGTTCTAGGAGGATCGATCACAAGAATTCGATGACATGATGCGATCAGGGTCAACCATGAAGGTATCTCTCACCCCGGATAGGCTGCGGACGATGGAGGTATTTAAGGTTCCTTATGATCACGAAATTTTACGGATTGGTGATGATTGTTTGGTAGGCTCTTAACAAAGAGAAGGCACGCTTCAACGGTAGGAAAACCTCCCTCCAATCATCCCACAAGGACTCCATCTCGTCCGAAGCATTACTAGCACCCACTGCGCCTGACCAGCCCAAGCGGACGACGAGACCATCCTTGCGGCACGTTGACTCTATTCACGAGGACGACGAAATACAGCCCATAGCGAAACCCCCTCCAACGTCACGCCCTCGACAGCTCAGTGCCGCTACTGCCTCAGGATCTAGTCCACCCTCTTCCACTCGCGCTCGCTCTGCCTCTTCCGCTGATCCCATGGTGCTAAAGTCTACCACATTCCCACCACCAAGGCCGCCGCAGTCGAACCTTGGTTCGTCCCTGAAGCTACCGAACTTGACACCAAGCAAGGTACAGCAGAAGCAAACAAGGCCCGTCCCTCATGGATTGGATGTCAACCAGTCACGACCTCCTCGTACTCGCACCGTCGCGAGAAACCGAGAATCACTTGATCTTGATGATATCATGGGTGGTTCGGATAACGAGGATGAGGCAGAGAAGCTGAAGAGTACGCCGTGCTATAATCCGCAGAGAGGCGTATCGGCAAGCGCTAGAGAGCTGATTGACTTTCTCGCTGAGGGCCCACCAGAACCTCCCCCGACTTCCCCAACCAATATCAACTCAGGGTCTCTTTTGACCTCAAAAAAGACTGGTCGCCTGCAGCGTATGATCTCTAAGATCACCCTCAACGGAAATGAGAAGGTTCGTTCTGACAATGAATCTGGCAAAAGCTCTCCCCGGAGGGCAGACGCTCCTATCCCTCTTCTACCCAACAAGTCCCTGACGAATCTCAGCTCCCTCGCGAACAGACCCGTTCCGCCTCGATATCCCACCGACTTGCCCTCTGCTACATCATCAGAGTCCCGCAGCTCTGTTGATAATGCACTCTCAGATCATCGGGTTCGGAAACAGTCTTTTTCACGCAAACCGGTGCCCCCATTCGATCCCAAAACAACCTCACCAGATTCTCTTGTCCCTACGTTGGCTCCCGGCATGGCTGTGGTGGATGTTGGTTCCCTTGCACCTCCCGTACCCACTAGTTTTGCAGTCCTAACCACCTCCAAACGTGTATTTGAACATGAATCCGTCAGCAAACGTGGTTCTGGTGATAGTTCATCGGCTGTAGCACGCCTGGAAGCCCCTGCTCGTTCGAGCTCAGAGTCAAAAACGCCAGAACGTTCCTCTTCCAGAGTTGTCCTCTCACACCTTGCCAAACGTCCAGCGCAGTTGTCCCCCGCCACAGCTTCACCTTCCATCCCGGCCTCTGTCATCGATCATGCTCATGAAATGCGGCGAACGCTCTCACATGCAACGAGCGCAACCGAATGTCGTCTGCTCATCGATATTTTCTTGGCTCGGGCTGGTTTGGTGGCCGATTCGTCGGAGCTTCAAGCTCTAGTCCCCGCCCCACTAACCCCCGAATCCGCTGCAAAGGAGTCTCAGATGGAGCACGCCATTGTTGAACTATTGCTGGGTGGCGATGAAGAGTCTTTAGACCCGCCAGTCCAGTCTGAACCATGACCCATGCAAGCCTCACCCGTTGTACGATTCAAAGTTACTATGGATACAGCCTAATGATACCCAGCTCTCTTCACTCGATCTTCCATGTAGATCTAACAACTACTCATTTCTATTGACCTTCATTCTCGTTATTAGTGTCAGCAAGCTGACAGTCAGCCTTTTGTTCATTTGGTATCCGTAGCCTAATGTTATTAACGATGGTCTATGTATGGTTTTTGAGCCACAAGTGAATATCGATCCAAGCACTAGGTGGGCGACAGTTGTCATTGCACTTCCAATGAAACGGCAATGCCCATGGCGGCCAGCTCGGCGCAAAGATAGCGGAACACGTAGGGGACTGCCACGACATCGAGATCACCACCTTTTGATGACCTGCGCAGCATGTTCGATGACGATATAGCCACCTTCACGCCAGGCAACGGACTTCGATCGGGATTTTGTCCTGTGATCAGAGCCTGGCGAGCTCGTTCGTCATCTTCCTCGGCAACTGCGCGGCACACTCTGCAGTACTCTCCACCTGGACCACTTGCTTTCATCGTGCCAGCAGATGACTCGCCCAAACTTATATCATCGTAACCAAGGGATATGAGACTGCCACAGGTCCGACAGACCCATGCAGTGGAGTAATCTGAGCAATTCATTAATCGGTCCTGGAGAAGGAACGACGTCCCATGAGCAATCAGAGCGTCGCGTTCCATCTCCCCAAATCGGATGCCGCCAGCACGTTTGCGGCCCTGTTCAGGTGATTAACAAACAGACATCACCATATATAACGACTTCCCTACCTTGACTGGCTGACGTGTCACTGGGTCAACCGGCCCTGTGGTTCTGACCTGGAATTTGTCTAGGACCATGTGCCGCAGACGTTGGTAGTAAACAACGCCGATGTAGATATCCGCGGCGAACTCTTGCCCAGTGATGCCCGAGTACATGGGCTCGTTACCGTAGTAATTATACCCAGCTGCTAATAACTGTTCGCCAAAGTAGTCAATTGCCCTGTCTTCTTCAGAGAACCTGGATGCCGTCAGCTGGCGCCGTCAACAGGAGCAGTAGTGATTTACTGGAAAGGGGTCGCATCTTGTGCCAGTCCGTGCATAGCGCCAGCCTTGCCAGCCATGCTCTCCACTAACATGCCGATGGTCATACGACTTGGGAATGCATGCGGATTAATGATAACATCAGGTTGCATTCCGCTCTCCGAGAAGGGCATGTCAACGGTGGGCCATTTTTGTGAGCATACACCCTTCTGACCATGACGAGACGAAAATTTATCACCAATAACGGGAGAACGAGTTATGCGGAAAGTGATATGTAATTTTTGCAACTCTATGTCTCCAGTATCACCACCTTGAATTCCGTTAGCAGCTACCAGGATGAACCAGGGCGAAGACCATACCTAACATGCGCACTTCATCCACGATTCCTTGCTCATCGCCTTTGTACTTGACGAACCTCGTGCGTCCGGTAGTCTCATCAATGTAAGCGGCTATAGGATCCCCAGAATCCAATTTGGTGCCGATGAACGGCAGGCCATCTTTATCCAAAAAATGACAGCAGGTATGCTGTCCATCGCCTTCGGCCGTTCGAACATCGTGACCAAGACCAAAATGTAGTGTAGGGGATGCTGATGATTTGACAGCCCCTCGCATTTCCTTTAGATCGATTATCTGAGACTTGTAGACTGTTCCGTAGCCGAAGCCTCGTTCATGTGCGGATTTGTTCAGGATCATGGCGTCCTCCATGTCGTAACCGGTGTAAGAAATGACAGCAACGACGGCATTGGTGCCGTTTGGGAACGAGTCCATGGCGTAAGTGTTGTATAGATGTGGCCGAACAATGGGAGTTTGGCCAGTCTGTAACCGGTAGAGCTTGTTGTCCGTTCTATGTTGTAGGGCGGTAGATGGGGTACCCATAGTTTGTTTACCCATCTTGAGACACGAAGTCAAGCAGGGGTGATGGTTCTTGTGTACTGGGACTTACCTGACACTGATAGATATTTCTGGGACTCTGCACAGCAAATTAGTAGCAGCCTGTAGAGTTCGTTCTTGCGCGTTACCTGATTGAAATCCGAGAACGGCGTCAAATTTGCCAAGATGGACAAGAAATTTGTTGGTGCATGTTCCACGTGTGTTGAAACATCTGGCTCGACCTCGTCAGGTTTGATTGCGATGTTCATGTATACCTGTTCAAATGATCCAACTTGGTCGTCCTTTCCGTTGGCGATGAACTTCACAGGACGCATCATCCTCGCCCGGGTAGAAAACAGAAACAAACCGGGGTACTGTCCACCTTTCGATTCAGGAACAAACCCGATTTCCAGATCAAGAGGAACCTTGTGTCGACCCTCGGTTTTCCATATCCGTAGATTGGTGGCAAGTTGCTGAGCAACCGACTGTCTTGCCCAGCCGATGACGCGACCATCAAGTTGAACGCAAAGATTTTTCCGGCCATCTATTGAAGATGAGAAGGCCTGTGTCATGCCGTGAGCTGCCAGGAGTGCGGGAATCTCAGCAACGGAAAGAGGTGCCGTGACAATGCGGCACGTCCTCGAAAGATGATTGAGCAGACCACACGGGGCACCATCAGGCGTGTGCACCGGACACAGGAAACCTGGATAATTGTCAGAACGGGACCAGAATGGCTGAAGTGCGCCACTTTACCCCAAGCTTCTGGTAATAACTTTCGAACGGTTGTTGTCTTGAGCTCGGCGAAGAAGGCACCACGATGGATACATCTAAAATGACTTATATACCTCATCCAATTGAGTTTTTCGGCAACAATAGTAAACCCAGATGCTTGTTGCAAATCAAGACCCGACGGTGAGACCAGATTACCAGTAGCCAAGAAGTTTGACATCTTGGAACCGATATCCCAGTTCACCTTATTGATAACCTTCATGATATATCGTTCTATGATTATCATCAGTTCATAGCAGGGTCGAAACGAAGCATTTGTGCGTACTGTCAAGAAAATCGACCGGTGGTTCTTCTTTCCTGACATCTGTCGCAATCTGGTTTCTCACTTGGTTCAGCGCTTCCTCAAGGCGTTCCTTGATGATCATGCCGTATAAATAACCAGGGAGCAGTACTTCCTGGTGCTGTGGCGAATCTGGGTTATCTGCGCAGCACGAGGAAGATACCACACTGTACAACTTTCGCAGCATGAATCTGCAGGTAGTGGTCAGCATACATCAAGAAACGGAGAAAGTGGGTACGAACACTAGCATCCGGAATTTGTCGCGAGCCGATTCAAGATGCACCAGAACCATCTTTTGAATTAACCAAGCCCCAAGAGCTTGGTTCGTCCAGTCTTCGGGCATGCCAAGAACGACTCGAAATTTGTCGCCCAAGTACTCAAGACACTGATCACCAGTGTACAAGCTATACATCTTGAAACTACGCAAAAGCAGCTCAACCCGATCTGTTAGAAATGTGTTTTCGTAATCTTGCATCATGACGTTATCAAAAATCTCCCTGTCGGAAGCGCCGATGAGAGCCTTGAGGATAAGCATAATGGGTATCACATATTCTTGTTTTCTCCAGCTGAATCGTAACATTGCGCTTCCGTTTGAGAGATAGTGAAGAGTATTGGTAACGCTGGATTGATCAGGGCGAACACAGCGGATCTGCACTGCATACTGCGTGTACGAAGGGCCACGGTTGGCGAAAGATGGGCGAAGCAGCGAAGTGACATGGTTTCGACGGGGAAGGATCAGATAGCGAATTAACCGTTCATTCCCATTGATAATGAAGTAGCCACCAAATTCTTCTGGCTCTTCATGCCGCCTCACAAGATCTGCGGAAGGTAGGCTACGAATATTGCATCGAACAGACTAATAATATTGGTCAGTTCATCGTCCAAACACGCATATAATGGGTGCTTACCCGAACCATGATCGGAACTAGACCACAGTCCCGCATTACAAATTGATCGGGATGAATGTCCCCATTAATGCTCCAGCAGACCTTTGCTTGCATACGCCCCCGATAAGAGGTCAAGCGTTCACGAGCCTATCATGTGCGTCAGCCTTAGAGCATTTATCTTCCACCCTGTAGAGCTTGGGTTCAGGTTACGTTCGACGGAAGCAACTTACCTCTGTAGGAAATATCTTGCGCTCAGTGCTCCATGTATCTCTGTCTGGAACTCTAGGAGGAGCTATAGATACCTCTTCTATCCATACTATTCCATGCGATGAACACTGTATGCAATTGGGAGCCAAATGCACCACTCACTGCTCAGTCGATTGCCCCAGCCACGCTGACCACTCTCTGTCCCAAGCTCGCCGCTGCCATCGAACACGACGCGTTCGCCTATGTCCTTCAGACCTAAAGACAACAGTCCCCGACCATCTCCGTCTCCCTTTGGCAGTCCAGAATCATCGAAGAGGGCGTTGAAGGATTCGATATGAGGCGTGACAAATTCGTTAAGGATCGGATGTGTTGAGCTTGTTTTGGATGGATTTTTGAATGATTCTTCACGCTGGATAGTGTTAAAAGTAGGCTGCCGCCTTGACTTCTGCGAGCCGTCGGGCATAATGTCTGAACTACTTCCCGTGGCTTTTCTCAGCACCTCTTGCCAATTTTTTGGCTGAATAAGGTTAGTTATTGCCGTGAGATATAATTGCTAAATATGTGCATGTCGGACCTTTGATATTATAAACTCCGCATCCTACTCCTGATGTCGACAGCACCAGCGACAAACGACTGCAGGCTTTTTCTTCAGATATGTTCGGAAGTAACACGGTACAATCTTCCTGGGCAAATCCCCAACAGAACCAGAGCCAACCGCAGAGTTCTGGTTTTGGTCAGCCTAGCGGCTTCGGAACCGGAGCAGGTAAGCAAGTCATATTTACCTGTACAGCGTTTTACCCACCTATTAATCGCCGAACAGCCTTTGGATCAACAGGTGCTTTTGGTCAGCCCCAGCAGCCACAGGCCAACCCAATGTTTGGCAATTTGGCGAACCCAAGCTCGGGAACTTCAGCATTTGGTGTGTCCTATCGCGTTTGTATTGTATTCCTCGTGACTGAATTACATTCGGCGCAGGCGCATTTGGCCAGAATCCTCCACAACCAGCCGCGGGTACCTCAGCATTCGGAGCTCCAAAGCCTGCCACGGGCTTATTTGGAGGGGCAGGTACCTCAGCTTTCGGAAGTGGCGGTAATACTTTTGGCTCGACGGCTGGAACGGGGACCACTGTTTTCGGGTCTAATCCCAACACTGGGGGTGCGTTTGGTTCTTTTGGACAGAATAGACCCACCACTGGCTTTGGTTCTACTTCTCCAAGTAAGTCCTCTTTTATTTTTATGAAATCACTGAAAGGACCTCACGCTTGTCTTCAGCCACTGGCAATGACACCGCTGCTCCTGTTACAACAGGCACATCGAATCCTTCCTACAGCTCGTTCGGTGAAAAGGATCCAACGTCAGCAACTACTCTGCAATATCAAACTATAACGGCTATGCCCGCCTATCGAGGGACATCGCTCGAGGTGAGTGATTATCACCTTCATATATCATTTCCTCGCTTAACAGTCTTGAAATCTTACCTAGGAGCTTCGTCATCAAGATTATCAACAGGGACGGAAGACTGCAGGGGCATTCGGCCAGCCATCCTTTGGTGGCACAACAACTACCCAACCAACGAATTTATTCGGAGGTGCACCTACGCAGCCTGCCAGTACATCTATGTTCAGCGGTGGCGCCGGCGCGGGTACAGGCGCGTTCGGAAGCACGGGAACAACAGGCAATCCTAGTACTGGCTTTGGAGCTTTCACCCAACCTCAGCCCGCGCAACCGGCAACAGGTACTGGAACCGGAATATTTGGGTCAGCCTTTGGTCAGCCTCAACAGCAGCAGCAGCAGCAACAGCAACAACCTTCCGTCTTCGGTTCTTTCGGGCAGCCACAGCAGCAGCCAGCCACAACTGGGACCAGCATCTTCAGTTCGGGTGGTGGTGGTACATTTGGGCAGCAGAACAAGCCCGCCACTGGCTTCAGCAGTAGTGCCTTCGGGCCAACAAGTAGGACTCTTGCCGCTGCCGATCTCATATCTTTTAACATTCTCTAACAGCAGGTGGCGCGTTCGGTTCTACAGGAACCTTTGGACAACCAGCCAGCCAGCCTGCTGCAGGTACTACAAGCATTTTTGGCCAGCCTCAACAGCAGCAGCAACCCGCAACTGGGGGCACATTCAGTAGTTTTGGTACATTACAACGTTCACGTTCTAAGAACAATACTAACTTTTTTGCTGTCAGGTTCGAACACGACTGCCAAACCGTCGATTTTTGGTCAGCCTGCTCAAAGTGGCACAACGTCTACCGGCTTTGGCACGTTTGGCAATCAGCAGCAGCAGCAGCAGCAGCAACAACAACAACAACAACAACAACAACCCCAGCAGCAACCCCAGCAGCCGCAAGCGGGTAGCATATTCGGCAACACGGGTGGTGGCATGTTTGGTCAGCCACAGCAGCAGCAACCTCAACAGACTGGGTGTAGGTTTCTTTCTTTTTCCCACTAGTTCATCTTGGTGATCTTTTTCATGAATAGTATTTGGTCCCACCACAGCCCAACCTCAAGGTGGCCTATTTGGAGGTCCGACGACGGGTGGAGGTTTATTTGGGAACACCCAACAAAATCAACAGCAGACCCAACAGCCTGCTCAACCGGGTGGGCTTTTTGGGCCCAAACCAGCCATGGGCGGGGGTTTGTTCGGAAATACATTCGGTCAGACGGGCACGACGGGAACAATCAGCTCGCAACCCCAAACAAATATTTTCGGGCAGCCTGCAGGTCAAGCAACGAACCAGCAATCAACAGCTGGGACGAACGCGTTCGGCACATCCTTATATGGTCCCAAGCCTGCCGCACCGGGGCTTGGTACTTCGACATCAACGGGTGGCTCATTATTTGGAAATGGACAATCGTTGTCTAGTCTAAACGCCTCTGCTACTGTTCCTGGAGCACAGGGAACTTTGTTCGCCTCCATTGCCGAACCACTTTCTCAGAACCTGCCAATCTTCTCGATGCTTCCTCCTGGCCCGCGTGCCGTAGACCTTGACCAACAACCCAAAAAGAAACCTGGCTTTTTCGTCGACGTCCCTACACGTTCACCTATTCCATACCTGCAACTCGGCTATACTCCCGCTAATTCGAAGCTGCGCGGCTTTGCGACATCAACGTCAGGGGCTGCGCTTGGGTCCAGCACGAGTCCCTTCGCCACTTCATTGACGAATGGGAAATCCAATGCGTTGGCACTTAGTCGCCTCGATGGGAAGGGTCCTGATGGATTGTTGGGGCGAAGCTCCACTCCATCTCTAGGAAGTGGAGGGCGTCAAAGCGTGAAGAAATTGATACTGGACAAGAAAGTTGAGCCTGCAGACCTCTTTAGTCAATCCGGTTCGCGCGCTACTCCCAGCAGAGTAACGTTCAGCCCTGCCCTCAGCCAGGCCGCACGCGAGAAAGAAGTCGCAAGAGAGAAAGAAGTCGCCGTCAGTGCAGCATCCGCTGCTCCTCAAGTGGAGACTCCAACACCTATTGCTCGCAAAGTTCCTGGTCGCTTCTCTGCACAGAGCACCATCAACGTGTTGGGCTCCCAACCACCCTCACCTGCAAAAGAGCCAGCAGCATTGCAACATGGTAGCTACTGGGTGAAGCCTGCACTACCAACTCTCATCAACCTTGGTTACGAGGACCTAGTGGCATTCAAGGACCTTATTGTTGGGCGTGTCGGCTATGGCGAAATCCAATTTTTGGAGCCAGTCGACCTCACTAACCTTCCAAGACTTGGCGCTCTCCTGGGCGAGATCGTCAAGTTTGATGATAAAGAGTGCAGCGTTTACCCGGACACTGATGATGCAGACAAGCCTGCACCGGGCTCAGGGCTCAACGTTCGCGCGCGCATTGTTCTTGTCAGATGCTGGGCGACGGATAAAGCGACTCGCGAGCCCATCAAGGATGAGAAAGATCCTGGTGCAATCAAGCACCTGAAGCGACTGAGGACGATCAAGGAAACCCACTTCGAGAGCTTTGACATTCGGGAGGGAAAATGGACATTCAGTGTGGATCATTTCTGAGCATGGCTCTCGTTGTTCGTGAGGTGTTGGTTCTCCGCTGACATACATGTGCGGTGCAGTAGTATTCCTTTCCATATCTTTGTAAGTGTTGTCTATGCCACGAAGTGCTGTTATTAGTTTAGATGCAGTTAGGAATACTTTGTACGCAAGTAGATAGCTTTGAATATTTGAATAATAACAAACACCAGAAGCAAACAACAATGATATCACTTTGCGCCCGACAAGTTGAAACGCGTCACTTTGAAATTACCAGCATTCCGACGACTCCCATCATTGTCCTATCATGAACATGTTGAATGCAAGTACAGGTCATACAATGCCCGAAATCATGCTGACCGCGTTCGACAGATACCTGAAAACGAGCTTAAGGGGCAAAACGCGGCTGTCGCGCGCGGTGCCATAGAGGGCGCACTCACAGGCTCAGCAATCGTAGCACCGACATGGTACCTTCTGAATCGCAGATGGCCCGCTTTTCGTGCTTTGCCTACTACGATGAAGACGCTGGGCGCCGTCATCATCATAGCGCCCTTGATTTCCATTAGGGCGGAGCACCGTGGGCTGGACTTTGATCGCCAGCATTGGTATGTCGGACGTCTTGCTTTGAGACGTTATCTAACTCGGATTGGTTCAGGGCGGGTATTGAAAAGACGGAGCTGGAGAAGGAGCGAGAGGAGGAGCGGAGGAGGTGGGCTTCGTTGAGCCCTAAGGACAAATTAGCAGAGTGGACAGCGAAGCACCAGCTCAGTGTTATCGTCGGCAGCTGGGCCCTTACTATGGGTCTCGTCGGAAGCAAAGTCATGCGCGACCCGTGCGTTTTCCTTTTGCAGTGTGGTTTGAGCTGGGCTGACCACCGAGATAACAGCTTGATATCTACACCAAACAAGGTACGAACTTTTGTTACTTCCGTAACTGCTTGTTTTCGTGCTGAAACCTGTTATATCATTGCATCAGATTGTTCAAGTGCGTCTCTGGGCTCAGGGGCTTACTATCGGTGTCATCATCGCAGCAGCCGCTCTAACACACTCCCAGCGCGCACAGGCGGCTAACATGAGGAAGGTGTGCTCCTTCTTTCCCTGTGTTTCTGTCATCGAGCCTTCTAACACTTCATTAGCACTCTCCAGATCATACTTGGGTTTACCTGGTATGAATTTACACTTTACATTTCACATGTTGTGTTAACTTTAGTTCCAGCTGGACGAACAGCGCCTTAAGAAGGAACGTGCACAAAAGGCTTAGTACTTGCCCTGTCCATGGTTTGGTTTCATCCTTTTCTGTTGTATCAATACGCGGCCCGTTATCTGTACAGGTCTGACTCATCAGCACAGTTAATTAATCGTTCCATTTCGGTGTTCTTCCAATCCAATACAAATCCTGGCTCATCCGAAGTTGATTCACGCTAAACCTGCAAAAAAATGAAGCTCTATATCGCAAGGGACCCATGATAGATATAGCGACAGACGAAGCAGGTTCATGGGTAACGGGCAAGAATATCATGAGGATATAAAATGATGTACGCCAAGAGGTGTCAGGAGGACAGAAAGTCGATCCATGCCTTCATGCTCCATAGAAGCGCCATGCAAAGTATGCTCCCAGTAGGGTCAATGGGATAAAGTACATCAAGCTGCAAGAGATGTCAGTTGTCAAGTGAACGCGCGCGCAAAGAAACCTACCTTGAACCTTGCTCAACGGCGTCAGAGACCGAAGCGCCAGAGCCGGGGGTCTTGGTATCGCTGATTTTCAGAGCCTGATACACTGGGTTAGTGCAGTTCAAGTTAGAATTGCAGTGCATCTTACGCCATCCTTCTCAAAAGCTCCGACAAGGAGGGGAGGGAGGAGGTCACGGGCCTCGTCAGAGTGGCCAACATCTTCGAAAGCCTGGGTTGCGTCTTTGCCTGTAGACGGCATATCTTTAGCCCAGGATTAGCCGCCCATTTTCATGGGACACATACCAGCTTCAGCCAATATCACGTCGTCACCTCCTGGATGCTACATCATCGTCAGGGAACAGTTCAACATCCACGCCGGTGCTTGCATACCTCGTCGATGAACTTAGTAACATCGTACACTATCCAACACGTCACCACGCAGACACGATTTGACAAGCTTCCTTGTACTCACCTTCTCCGTGGATAAGAACATAGAGACTGTCTTTAGTAGAGTGTGCTTTGAGCTCTTCGTACGTGACGACCTTGGCCATTGCAAGTCCTGTTAGTTGCAAACGAGAAAGACGGTGGTGACGGGATTGACTATGAAGCAAACAAGGAAGTAAGCGTTTCAATTGCAATTCAATGTATAAAAACCCGTCGAGATATTTTCTCACACCAATCGTACGCCTTGGAAACTAATTATGTGATGGTTTCCCGCCAAATTGTTTAGTCTAAGGGCTGCTCTGTTTCAAAAGCTCGTGATCCGGGCAAGCGTCGCTAAACCTGTCCTAAACGGGACTCGTTACGGCGCGCAGCGCCAACACTTGGGTCCTCGAACCATACTAGCCAGGTATGAAGAATCTGCTGGGCCAATCGGAACATTCTTTTTAAATCGATACACACACTCTTGTGACGAGTCCTTGCTGGCCTCAGAAATTCTCAAGAAAATAAAGCGCATCACGGACGGACGGACGAGACACCACCGGTCGTGGAAAAAATAAATTGTGTAGAAAGTAAGTATATCCGCATCGGTTTAGTACTCGAATGACCACAGTGATTACTGTACAGACAGCTGGACATTCAAGCGTGGAACCAAGCACGCTCTAACAGCTAAATCTTCCACGTCATCAGTATAGGGACGAAAGCACTGTGAGCCATGTCCCTAGGCATTGGCGAGTGGAGGTCGCGCAAGAAAGAAGAGTCGATCAAAGTCTACACCAAGTCACTTCCAAGATGCCGGTATGATTTGGTGTAAATCCGGGTCGTAATCGTCTGCTAATAAAATAGGGAGGACGAGACAGGCGGGAAGTGTTGTTGTGTGGCGCTTTCGCTCATCGTTTATAATCAGGCAGCTGGCACCTAAGACGAGGAAGAAAATTTGGACTTCGTTATCAGTTGACAAAAAAATTTAACGTAAATGCAATTTTTCAATCTCCGATTCACTCAGCATTCGGGCCGTGCCGAGGAGTGTGGGACACCTTTCTTGACCGCTCTCTCAACGCTCCCGCAAGACGTCGTACCATGGCTTACGACGAGCATGCTGACATTCTCGGCGGCCCCATCTTGCAGATACCAAATACTGGTATTCTGGGTCAATGGTCCCAGTACTCGATCCTATTCAGGGCTAGTCTCATCTTAGCACTTGGTCTATTGGTATTGCTCATCTCACTACGCGCCTGGGACATATGGAAAAAAAATCAGGAATTGGGTTACAGAAAGTGCGTCATTCTTTTTGCCCTCTTTAACCCCTACTCACGACACTTACGACAATCAGAGCGATGCGTCGCAAACATGGAATCCCAGACTCGGACTGTCGTCCCTTTGCTGTAGCATATGCTGCGGCCACCCGGGCGCGCGCTGAACGTGAAGCTCAGGACAGACTACAGGCTAATAACGTCACGGAAGAGCTTTCGGTGATAAATAATCAGGTTCCGTTGCCAGACATGCATGGATTGAGGCGAAGGGCGGCCGAACCTGGTGTGTGGAACTTTTTCGTGATTTGTTGTCTCGATCTGATCGGTATATAGCTACGAAGCCACATGCTAATCAACTCCCTGCCACAAGACGTGCCATTTCTGGCTTTGATCACAAGCCCAATGGATTTGACTTTGCGCACCGATATAATCCCCGCCTTCAGGATGGCCTCCTCCCTCTCTCACGCGAGTCCCTAACGTCTGGGAAACGTTTCTCCTATCGTCGTGCTAGCAGAAAGGATCTCGCTTTCGACACGAATGCGGCAGTGGAAGGCAAGAAACGAGCTTATGATCATGAGGGCAATCATGAGCCTGAAATATCAAAGAAGTCTCGTGTTGATAGTGGTGACCTCATTGATGACGACGAGGAACTTGATTTACTCGAGGAAGAGGACGAGCTAGAGCCCGCTCAACGGGGATCAAAACGGACTTTTGACTTGGATGAGGAAGCTGATTATATGCGCACCGATGGTCGTGACAAGCGCCCCCGAAATATGTCGCGGGCTCAGACACCTGAAGACCAGGAAATGGAAGATATCGAGGATGATGTCGCTGAGTTGCACCCAATTCCTCGTGGGAAGAAGCGTGATCGTGCTGAGGCTGGCTCTACGTTTGGCGGTGATGATGAAGAGGAGGCACTAGATGATCAAGATGACAGGTCTCACCGTCATCGCAAGCGTCGCACAGTTCGTCCAAGAAAATCAGATGGCGGTAGGAAGCGAGATCGTGATCCTGAATCCCCAGCAAGCGAGGGCAGTATTGGAGGTTCTCATAGGCACAGCGAGCGCACCTCCAAGAAGAAGAAAGGGGGCAAGAAAGCCTCTTCCGTGGCGGTCAGTGATGCTCAGGACGGCTCGCAGGATCCCCTTTGCAATGGTAGAAAGATTGGTGAGGAGTGGGAATCGAATGGTGTTCAATATAAGGTCGGGAATGAGGGCGAGCGGCTTCGTCTTACTTTGGTGAAAAAGGCTCGGAGCAAATATTCGATGGTAGGTCGCGGTCCCTTTGTCGATGTACATGTGGAGCTAACCGAAACACAGCCCAAGGATTCTCAGCACCCAGATCGACAGGCTAATATGGAGATCTACGTGGAAACTTGGCTGACAGATGAACAATACAAAGATGCTGAGGAACGGCAGGAACTTGTGTGGCAAGAGACGCCTAGAGCCTCGATTGAGCCTAGCACCCCCGGTGAAGCTCCTGTATCACCAACAAAGACGGGGAAGGATCTGCTCTGGGATTCGATGAAGAACAGCCCTGTTTCTAGCCGTGCCTTTCGCCAGTCATTAACCAATGGCTCAGCCCGGGTGAATCCATTTAAGCAACCTTTGCCGCAGGCTCCATCTGGCCGACGTGTTGCCTCTTCGAATACCCATATTCCACCCTTAATTCCTGGTGTGGCCGAAGGTCCATCTCGTCCGGGGTTCCGTGCATTCTCAAAGTGGGAGAAGCAGGATCTTGAGGCTGAGGCGATGGCGAAGATGCGTGCACGGATGCTGGAGCAGAAGAAAGGAGAGACCCCGCAATCAAAGGCCTTTGAGCTTCCGACCAGCGTCACGGCGCCCGAGCTAGGCCCTAAAGCTCCGGCTGTGCCCATTATTACATTCACCCCGCCACCTCCTGCTGCATCCACGTCTGGCGGCACTGAGACAAAGCCGACACCATCACTATTTTCATTTGGCAATACCTCAACGAGCACGGACGCCTCGAAGTCCACTGCTCCTACTGAGTCTCCCACACCAGCAAGTGTCACGCCTGTGGCCTCAGCTCCAGCTGCCAATAAACCCAGCTTATTCCCTACATCGTCTGCTCCACAAATATCCCCTGCAGCACCTGTGTCTTCAGGTGGTCCGCCCACGACACAACCTCCACCACCATCGCCGCCACCACCGCACCTACCACATCATCCGCACCCTCTGTACCTAACTTTTTCGCCAAGCCAGCTGCACCATCGACACCTGCACCTGCAGCAACCGGAGTTCCTTCATTTTCTTTTGGTCCCACGCCTACACAGCCGCTGTTCGCTGCACCTGCTTCCGCATCTACTGATCCCTTCTCTGCGCCTGTGGCATCAAACATGGAAACCAACAAACCGGCACCGTTCCCCTTCGCAAAACCCAGTGTGCTACCTTCCTCGGCGCCAACATCTACACCGACACAAGCTAATCCACTATCGATATTTGGGGCAGCCTCAAGCACTGCTAACCCGTCGTCAATATTTGGGGCATCTTCAAGTAACCCTGCAACTTCTGCTCCATCCGCACCTGCTCCGCTGAAGTTCGACTTTGGCAAGAAGCCCGCTAGCACGATCCCCAAACCTGCTGCCATATCTCCCCCTACTGCAACTGCTGCCGATGTCGCAAAACAGACTAGCCCTTTGTTCACGTTCTCGGCGGCTACTCCCCAATCCAGTTCCATAGGATCGACTTCACCGCAGAAGTTCCCGTTCGGTCAGCCTATATCGGCATCAGTATTTGGTTCTGGTGGCAATGCTACTGCTGCATCAAAACCTGCTGAGACCTCGGATGCACATAAGCCCAAAGGAGCAGAGACAGAGATGCCCAAATTTTCATTTGGTCCGCCCTCCAGTGCTTCAACATCTGGCTTTACAGGTGCTTCATCGGCACCCAAGTCAACGCCGAACTTTGGAACACCGTCGGGAATATCAGCCTTTGCCACAGCTCCTTCATCGGGCGGTGATGTGAAGAAGACGGACGCGCCATTATCGATCTTTGGCGCCGCAAATGCTACCAAAGAAGATGGAAGCAAGGTTGGCGCTTCTACACCTGCACTCTTCGGTGGTTCCGGCTTTGGTGCAAATGCAAACGGCGTCTCGAGTAATATATTTGAGAAGTCCAGTGCTCCGCAGCCTAGTGGTGACGCAAGCACATCTACATCGACTCCCAAGAGTGTGTTTAACAATGCCACGTCAAGCAATACATTCTCTACAACTCCTGTTGGATCGCCTGTTGTATTTGGCAATGCCCAACCAGGCGCTTTCGCGTTTGGCAATGGATCAACCAAGCCTGCAGATAGTGCGAAACTGTCACCATTTGCTCCTCCATCAAGCAATACCACTTCTTCTGCCTTTTCGTTTGGAAAGAAGGAAGACACTGCAGCGCCTTCTTCGTCTGGCATCAATGCTTCCACTGCGCCTGCGTCATCGATGCCCGCGTTTGCATTTGGATCTTCTGTGTTCAGTCAACCTTCGACGGGTACTTCAAATGGAGTAACGCAACAGCAACCAGTTTTTGGGAAACCGTCGGCACCTACGCCTAGTGCATTTGGTTTCGGTAGTGGAACCAGTGGTACTGGGACTGGAACTGGAAGCAGCACATTCGTTTTTGGAGGTCAGCCCGGAGGCCAAAATCAACAGCAATGATGCATTTCCACGTCTTTTGTATATACTCCAGTGGGACTGCATACATGACCTTGTACAGCACATACCTCTTTCCGTATTGCGTTCGTCCCTGGTACTTCATACATATCTCATCGCATGTCATTGTTTGTTTTTGTACCATCACGATTAATGTGTTCGGGGCATTCAGCGCTATCTGACTTGGAGGCTCCTGCGTCTGGCAGCTTGATACGTCTGCTTTAATACTCACTTACACCAGCATCGTATCTCCCATTCTAATTAAACGATCCAAGTATCGTTGGTCTTTGCACTCTGTGCTTGTGAACACCGAAGCATAATGCAAGGATGCGGAGGTCGCGTATTTGAACATGAATGGGCGAAGGGAAAAGTTGGCCACTATCGAATTGGTATCAGTTCCTAGATGTTGACATTGACCAGTACTTGATTGCAGAGTTTGGACAACCGGTGATGATTCGCAAAACGCAAATAGTGCAGGCCTGGAGAGGCGAGCACGATCACTAATGATGATCGGCTGATCGTAACTCGGGAGTCAGTGCACCAGTCATGCACAGTTGAGCATCATTGACGAATACTTTCGTTGTCGGTAGGGCCTAACGTTCCAGAACAAACCAGACTTCCCGTCACGTCGAACGAGTACAGACTTCTGAGCAGCGGAGGTACGAATACAGACGCGTACGTCGGCATTTCGAGACTGACTCGGAAATCCCTGTTTTTGGTGCAGATTTACCGTGATGCGGCAGATTCAAGAAGATCTGGGGGATTAATGTGATGTGCAGTTTTCGAAGAGTCACGGTGACCATCATGATCTGCAATGGTTAAACGTGTGTATTGCTTCCGATACAAGAGGCACTTGCCACCTGGCAAACGAATTGATTTCATGGTGGGCGAACCAAGTCTGAGCGCAGTTCCGAGTGAATCGAATGCATGTCTTCTGACATTACATAATATTGGCTGCCAAAAAATAATCATGTTGGAGCTTCCTGAATCCTGAGTGCAGTAGCAAAAGGCTTCAAATACATGACCACCGCAGGGGTCGAACCTGCAATCTCCTGATAACGTAATCGTAGTCAGACGCGATGCCATTTCGCCAGGCGGCCCTTGAAACAAGGGAACGTGCATGTGCTATATCCCGAAGACATGACAAAATTACCCACTATCACTAAAAGTTGGAACTACGCCTACCGGACCTCCACCATGTCGGTCCTGTTCGAAACTTCTCTAGGCGACCTCGTCATCGACCTTGAGGTGGAGCAGTGTCCGAAAACATGCGAGAACTTCTTGAAACTTTGTAAGGTGTACTACTATAATTTGAATGCATTCTTCAATGGTGCGTAATTCTCCCTTCATTGGTACCTTTGCCTTAAATAACAGTATCCAGTATCCAAAGATTTCCTAGCCCAGGCTGGTGACCCCACTGCCACAGGAACGGGTGGAGAATCAATATGGTCCTACATTGCCTCGCAAGAAAAGAAGGATGCCACAGTCGCCCGGTATTTTGCCCCAGAAATCGTGCCAAAGTTGAAACACACCCATAAAGGCACTGTGTCCATGGCTGTGGCACCCTCTGTGAACGGCGAGAAAGGCGGTTGTGGCAGCCAGTTCTTCATTACACTTGCAGACAACATAGACTATCTCGACGGGAAACATGCAATTTTTGGTCATGTCGTAGAAGGGTTGGCAATGCTGGACAAGCTGAATGAGGAATGTTTCACAGATCAAGATGGGAGACCATTCAAAGATGTGCGGATAAGACACGTCGTTATTCTCGGTGCGTTAGCACCTAGGTGGACCCTGACGTCTTCATGTGCTGATGGACATTCATAGATGACCCATTCCCTGATCCACCCAACCTAATCCAACCTCCGTCATCTCCAACTCGCCCCCCAGACAATTCTACTAGGATTGCTGAAGATGAAGATCCGCTTGCCACTCTTCCGGATGAAGAAGAGGAGCGTATACGTCGTGAAAAGGCCGCAGCAGCCTCTGCCCTAACGCTTGAAATGGTTGGCGACCTGCCTTTTGCCAACGTCCGGCCACCAGAAAACGTCCTTTTCGTATGCAAACTGAACCCTGTCACACGAGACGAAGACTTGGAACTCATCTTCTCGAGATTTGGCACCATTATGAGTTGCCAAGTCATTAGAGACAAGAAAACGGGCGACTCGTTACAATATGCTTTCATAGAATTTGATAAACGAGATGATGCAGAACAGGTTCGTGGTGCACAGCTTCTGCATAGTGAAACATGACTCAAGGACCTGCCAGGCCTATTTTAAGATGCAAAATGTATTGGTAGATGATAGACGGATTTGGGTAGATTTGTACGTGCGAAACCACTTCAATTGTCTTGTCTTACCTCATCTACGCAGCTCGCAGTCCGTGGCAAGGCTCAATACCTCCTGGTCCAATAACCCCAAAGTGGGACTGCATAGCAAAGAAAGGGGTGGGTTCGGCGGTCGTGAAGACTTGGAAGAAACTCGACGATACCGGGCAGCTGGAAGAAGCGATGGCAGAGATCGTTATGGAATGGTGTTCGAAGTCCCGGATGACAGAGGAACATCACGTAGGAGCAGACATGATCGAGATAGGAAAGACCCTCGAGATCGGCGCCAACGCTCTGCCTCCCCTGTGCCGCGCAACAGATCTGGGGAACGGCGCCGCAGCAGAGATAGACATTCTCGTGATCACGGGACACGCCGCTAATGGCGGATCTGAAACTGAACACCGTGCTTGTATGTTTCTATTCATTGTGCTTTGTGTACCAAAATGATCTGCCCCTATGAGGCAGCCCGCTAGTCTGAATTGTAATTCCACCATTGCTGTGCCGCTGGCTAGCTTATAAAACCTGCATTCGCCCAATGAGAACAGGAACTCTCTGTCTCTCTTCTGGTCTCCATGATGACACAGTCACACAACGACTTCTACGCTCCCGGCTCTGATATGCTTCTGCTCTCGAGTGACGATGTCAAATTCTGCGTCCACCGTTGTATGCTAGCGGCCGCTTCTCCATTCTTTGAACATATGTTTGCATTGCCGCAGCCCCCTGACGATCCAAAAAACGAGGAACGTCGTCCTATGATCCCCGTGTCGGAGCCTGGCTCGACCGTGCACACGCTTCTGTGTTTCATTTATCCCATACCTCATCCCACCATTTCATCACTTGACGAACTCAGCATTATTCTCGGAGTCGCAGTCAAATACGATTTTCTTGGCGTCATCTCTTCTCTTCGCAAGCAGCTTATCTCCCCCGCATATTTGAGAGACGATCCAGTGCGAGTGTTTGCAATCGCAAGTCGCTACGACTTTGAGGATGAAGCTCAGGTTGCGTCGCAACACACGCTTTCTATCAACATCCTTGACTGTCCATTGTCGGATGACTTCCGCTTCATCACAGCCCACTCTTACCATCGCCTCCTCGTCTTGCACAAGAAACGGTCGAAGGATGCCCAAGCGCTTCTCAAGATTCCAGAAGACGTGAAATGCTTGCAGTGCTCAGGGCCGTATTATGGGGCGTTTGTACCACCAAAGTGGTGGAAGGAGTTTGAAAGAATGGCAAGAGCGGAACTGGAAACACGGCCAACTACAGACGTTATCTTCAATATGCCATTCTTTGCACGGGCCGCCGAGGCATCAGGATGCGCGCGATGTGCGAGTAGCATTCTGGACTCGCATCAATTCTTGTCAGATCTCAAGCGACAGATCGACGAGCTTCCTGCTACTATATGATTCGTTCTTCTTCACGACTATCACGACATTATCATTGCCACATAATCTAGGACTTCTCAGGGACGTTCTTTATATGCGTCATTCTACGTTAATATCCTCAAGACTTTACTCCCGCGACATTGACTCGCCATTACTCTTTCTTAAACCGATTCATGTTACAGTCCTATAGTCACTACAGTACACATTGGAACGATATACTCTTAGATCTAACCTCGCCAGGTGCCATAGCACCATTACTGTACTTGGTTGAACTTGTATGCATTATGATATGGCTGTACATGGATATCACTTAGGTAGTATTGAACTATGTATAGTAGGCTACGTAGGTGATCAAATTTGCAACCATTGGAGATGATATTAGGTTGATCCCCAATACAACGGTGCCTGACTGACGTGTAAGTAATATTGTACGGCGTCAACTGGTTAAGCGAGTATGACTCGGAGGCTCAGTGGGATGGCAGGTGGGGAAATGCCGTAATCATCTTGTGGTAAACGTTAGCTAGGGGAGGACTGGAAGGATGGTAGGAGGAGTCCTTGAGTATGTACAATCGGGATTATGGAGAAAACAGGAACCAAGTAGAAATCAAAGTGAAACATTATTCAGAGATACCCGAGTTGATGAGTAACCAGGGTAGCGTGACACTAATCTGCTTGGACTAAAATTAAAGTCCTGGGCACCTCTCCCTGATCTACCTATCTCAACGACTTTGTCTTCAAGATGTCTACACCACAGCTGGCCACATTCAAGGTACCTGCAGTCGAAAATGAACCTATGGTCAGTCTATGTGAACTTCACTAGTCACTCCTTCTCATGCTGAACCATATCGGCAGCGAAGTTATGCTGTGGGATCAGCAGAGCGCAAGGGTCTCGAGGCTGCACTCGCTCAGATGCAACAGGAACTTCCATTCGAGGTTCCCTGTATCGTGAATGGCTTACCGGTCTGTACATCATGTCACCAGCCAATTCCTTGATGTGACTTAGCTTTCCGCGGATCTTAGATTAGAACTGGTAATCTTGCAAAGCAGCCCATACCCTCCGATCACGCCCGTCATCTCTGCACATACCACGAGGCAGATGAATCTACCGTAGCTAGTGCGATTGATGGTGCCCTTGCTGCCAAGGCTGAGTGGGAGGCCATGCCTTGGAACGATCGCGCCGCCATCTTCCTGCGTGCTGCAGAGCTTGTTAGCGGCAAGTACCGTTACAAATTGATAGCAGCTACTATGCTTGGTCAAGGGAAGAACGCTTGGCAGGCAGAGATTGATGCTGCTGCTGAGGTGTGTAAGATGGGGTTATCTTGGTGGCAGTTGATTGACGGAACTTTCGTAGCTCTCGGACTTCTTCCGTTTCGGCGTCAAATATGTCGAGGAGCTCTACGCACAGCAACCTCCTAAGAACTCAGCAGGAGCATGGAAGTAAGTCCAGTATCCTTTCTATGAGGCTACTTCTGATGATTGCTTAGCCGTGTCGAGTATCGTGCACTGGAAGGATTTGTCCTCGCAGTTTCGCCATTCAACTTCACGGCAATTGGTGGCAACCTCCCAGGTGGTACGAGCGACTATTCCATCACGAGTTTTACGTTCTGAATGAGTCATTTCTTAGTTCCCGCGATCGTCGGTAACACTGTCGTATGGAAGCCTTCACCGGCGGCTACGTATTCCAACTACTTGGTCTACCAGATTCTCGCGGAAGCCGGTGTTCCAGCCGGTGTCATCCAGTTCGTTCCCGGGCCACCTCCAGAAGTCGTCGCACAGGCCATATCCCACCCCAACTTTGCAGCACTCCACTTCACAGGCAGCACCTTTATCTTCAAGAAGCTATGGAAGGACATTGCCGCAAACCTAGACAAGTACAAAGGGTATCCGAGAATCGTCGGTGAGACAGGAGGGAAGAACTTCCATGTCATCCACAAGTCGGCAGACGTCCGAAATGCAGTTTTGCAGACTATTCGAGGCGGCTTTGAGTATCAAGGTGCGCATATTGTGTGTATGAGTGGCGCACAAGATTGATGGGCGTGTGTGCAGGACAAAAATGTTCTGCATTGTCACGGCTATATGTTTCCTCTTCGCTTTGGTCATCTGGATTCAAAGATATGTTCTTGTCAGAGGTTGCGAAGATCAAAGTGGGGTCACCATCAGACTTTAGCAACTTCATGGGACCCGTGATGTACGTTCCATTTTTATGCATCGGACTGCGTACCGGTCACTAAACAACACCGCAGAGGTCGTCCCGCTTATGACAAAATAATGGGCTTCATCCAGAAAGCCAAGGATGCGGGAGGGGAGGTTCTTATCGGTGGCACCGGTAAGGCGGATAGTATGACCCGCCTGCGATTTCTCTCATGATTATACAGGTGATGACTCCAAGGGCTACTTCATACAACCCACCATCATTTTAACCAAAGATCCTGAATCAATCACGATGAAAGAGGAAATCTTTGGTCCTGTCATCACTGTAATGGTTTTTTGTTCAGAAATGTGGCCAAATAGACTAACAACTTTTCAGGTCTATGTGTACGACGATGCGAATTATGAGAAAACTCTAGAACTGATCGACAACACCTCGCCTTATGCACTGACCGGCTCTATGTAAGTCGCAAGGTCTCTGCGGCATATGTTGACTGACAACTTCTTTTCCAGCTTCGCCGCAGACCGCAAAGCGCTTCTGACTGCCACAAACAAGCTACGCAACGCTGCCGGCAACGTCTATTACAATGAGAAATGCACTGGCGCGGTCGTGGGTCAACAACCCTTTGGAGGAGCACGAGCAAGCGGGACCAACGACAAAGCTGGGAGTATTAGTATCTTCTACCGGTTCGTTTCGGCGAGAAGCATGAAAGAGAACTTCGTGGGTCTGGAGGACTTCCAATACCCGTCGAACTTGATTTGAGATAATTGGTGTGTAACAAGAAGAATCGATGTTGTATCAATCAAAGAATCATGCTACTTGTGTTTGATGAGAAACGTCGTGGAGGACGAATTTTAAAGCGAGCAAGGAAGAGCACTACTAGGAGCAACAAATCATTGCCATCTCGCCTCATCGCGTCGTCGTCACTCTACGGTATCAGGTATTGGCAGCGGTCATATAACCTCGTGGCGCGCACTAGATTTTTGGAACCTTGTGAAGCGTTCATGCGCTCTGCAACCGCAATAATAGCGTGGATGGCCATGGATCGACTCTAGTTTATATTCTTTGCTTGAACTCTAGCGGAGACTTACTAGATTCGAGGACGCCATCTGATAATACTGTACAACACTCCAGAGTTCCTAATCGATCTAGATCTACACAGGTTCTCGTTGCAGCGTGACGTTCACGACAAGGTCCTGCTGTTAGTAATAATAATACTGTCGGACTCGAGTCAGTCAGTACCCGTACGTGCGATAGCGATTCGCTGAAGTTGTCAGAAGATGATGCTTCACATGAAAGAAGGCTAGTACTACCATAAGATTCTCGATGGTCACCCAGGCTTCGAAAGGTTTCGTATGACAATTTGTAAGGACGACCAGCACGCAACAACATCTCCTGACGGAATCACTTGATCCATAACACTCAGTATGCACTCTGACGAACTAGCGGTAGCATTTGGAGGCATACTCGGTCTGGTTGTCGGCGGGTGGTCTCACTTGAACAACTTCAAATTCAAACTCGTAGGATTGACACGGAACAAAACTGACACTCGATATTACAGCAATTGGATCATGTGCAAGTAGCGCTAGAAGCATTGATTTAGCAACTATGAGGGGCTGTCAAGGCTAAGAACTTACACATCTCGGCAATTCGACCAGTGTTCTCCATGAGCCATGCGACTCAAATCAATCTCTTGCCCACTGGGTATCACAAACACAGTCCGGGGAGAATAGAATGGTTGTTGTCGGGAAGGGGGTGGTACCCAGAAAAGCAACCGACGATCGGCTCCTACCATCCATCCATCTTTCAGCAAGACAGGGGTTGAATTGAGGTCATGATGAGAGGTGCTCTCGAGCAGCTCAGCAGGGTTGTACAGCGCAAGCTCCAAGCTTGATGCGAAGCAAATGGCGTGATTGTTCCGGGTGTTGGCTAACATGATAGTTTCCTGTTTGCGAGGTGTGGTGGGACGTCCACTCAAAGATAATGCAGATGGGTGGATCTCAGTGTGCTCCTGGAATTGCTGCTCTGTCGCTGCATTCCACAGCCGGACAGTGGAATCTTTTGAACCAGACATGATGCGAGTGCCATCAGGGGAGAATGAGACTGAGTAAACCGAACGAGTGTGCCCTCGGAAGGGCTCACCCAATGGTTCCCCCGTCACTGCATTCCACAGTCGGACAGTGGAATCATGTGAGCCAGACACAATGCGAGTGCCATCGGGCGAGAATGAGATTGACAAAACCGAATCAGTGTGCCCTCGGAAGGGCTCACCCAATGGCAGTCCTGTCGCTGCATCCCACAGCCGAACGGTCAAATCCTTTGAACTAGACACGATGCGAGTGCTATCGGGCGAGAACGAAACTGAGTAAACCGAACTAGTGTGCCCCCGGAGGGGCTCACCCAATGACAGCCCAGTCGCTGCATCCCACAACCGGACAGTGGAATCCTGTGAACCAGATACGATCCGAGTGCTATCGGGCGAGAATGAGACTGACCAAACCGGATGAGTGTGCCCTTGGAAGGGCTCCCCTAATGGCTCCCCCGTCGCTGCATCCCATAGCCGGACAGTGGAATCCTCTGAACCAGACACGATGCGAGTGCCATCAGGGGAGAACGAAACTGACTGAACCGAATAACTGTGCCCTTGGAAGGGCTTACCCAATGACAACCCCGTCGCCGCATCCCACAACCGGACAGTGGAATCCTTTGAACCAGATACGATGCGAGTGCCATCGGGGGAGAACGACACTGACCAAACCGGACCAGTGTGCCCTCGGAAGGGCTCACCCAATGGCAGCCCCGTCGCCGCATCCCACAGCCGGACAGTGGAATCCTCTGAACCGGACACGATGCGAGTGCCATCGGGGGAGAACGAGACTGACCAAACCCAATTAGTGTGTCCACTGATCACGGTCTGAATAGCCGTCCAGTTCACGGGACGTCCATGTGTCAGACGAAGAGTGTTCGGAAACCTTGCAGTAAATTTTGTAGCTATCGTGGACTTGATGGGCGAAAATGGCAGCGCTGATACATACAGATGCGGCGTGCTGTGCAAAATCATCCCACCAAAGACTTGGACGAATCTCTGCACATCCTTTGCATTGAACAAGACATTTTCATATCCGAATTGGCCCTGTGTTTGCACGTAAGCACTTCGCCTGACACCACCAGAGGACTCTGTTCTCGCCTTCAGCCACTGAGTAATGAGTGGAAGCACAACAACTGCAACGCTGAGTGCATTGAGAAGGCCGAGTGCCTCAATCCAGAAGAGCAGCCGCTCGTTGTCGAAGAATGATCCTATTTCCTTTGCGAGATCCGTGTCGAAGTCCGCTGCTCGTACGTGCGTAGCCCAAAATCGACAGGAATAAGACAGATGCGAGGGAATGCATCTTGCAACTCGATCGGGCAGCCCGGCGTCTTTGCTATTGGGGAGGTATGAAGACTTTAAATTACACATATTGAACCGAAGGTCATGTTCCATCACTCCAAGTGATGCAAAAGCAAGATTGCGTTGCGCGTTCGATATCTCCACGAAAAAGTCTCCACTGGATGATTTGTCTGTCAGGAATTCGCGGAAGGATGCGTGAAGGGGTCGGATGGGGCTAGATGAGTTGGTGGTGCTGCTCAGCAGGGACCCCATATGTTCTACCACGACTTGCACGTCATAATGCTCGCTTTGGTCAGAAAAATGGTGGCGCATGGCATTCAGGGCATCTAGAGGGAGGGGTTCGGCTGAGCCAAGTATTTGTCCCATCACGGAATGAAACCTTGCTAGCGCTTGCTGATAACCAGCTTCTGTGGTATGTCTGCCCTTCCGCATGTTTTCTCCTAAAATGAAGCTATACATGCCATACAACGAGTCTTTCCGCTCTCCGTGATCGTGGGACATGACAGCATTGAAGCGTTCGATTGCCCGTGAACCAGGAGTTTCCTGGATATATTTGCATGCAAGACGTGCCCACTCGAATAGTCCACCAGCCTTGTCAGCGAGACCTCCAAACTCTTTGTCCCCAAGGTCAGACACCTTTTTCAGCTCGTGAGACACAAAAGTGCGACTGTCTCTCTTCGAGACTTCTTCTGGAATGTTGTCCATGGATAACCGTTGAATATGTGGAGCATCCCGAAATTCAGAATCAATATCATGAAGCGGGCGAGAGGTAACGAGAATCCGAAAGTTGGGAGGGAGTTCGGTGATTTTGGGAAGACCTTCGATCTCCAGTGTATTGGCAAGTATGCGAAGAAGGTCATCCCGTGTCTCCCTTCCGCCGCTCTCATCCAGCGCTTCGATGACAATTAAAACAGGCCCGACATTCGACCTAAATAACTTCTTCAGCGGTTCCATAAACAGCTTGCGCCACTGCTGGATGATATCTGTCGTATTCTTGAGCGCATTTATATTTTTGACTGTGTCTGCCAATGTTCGTCTCATCTCTGGATCACGGCCGGCGAGGTCGCGAGCAATAGTGGAGAAGACTTTTTCATGACGCTTCTCGGCTTTAAGGTCCTGGTCGAAGCAGAAACATGAACCAAGCCCTCCCAAGTCGTTGAACCAGTTAGCGACTGTGTGAGCGATAACTGATTTTCCCGTGCCTGCAGGGCCAGATAGCCACAGCACACGCTGAGCGGTATCTCCGCTGTTGTTGATCCATTCGGTAATCTGGGAGAGAATCTCCGTGCGCGTCCCTGGTAGGCATTGTTTCGTGATATCAAGTCCCGCGCCCGTTGCATAAGGCATACCGCTGAGATCCAGTTTGTCACTCGGTTTGTCACCTGAAGGGGCATGAGTGGATGCAAAGTCAGAAGCACGTTCAAATCCTTACTCGTACACCGGACAAGATCAGCTATGTCCTGGATAGCTTGGTCCCAAAATTGCCGCATAAGCTCATTCAAAACCTTGTTGTACCGTGTAATCAAATCATCCGTCTCCGAGACAGCATTTTTCCCGAGTCTCTTCCCTGTGGCAACAGTATAAAATTCACGATGTAGAAGTGCAATAGCTCAACGACTCACAAGAGCTCCTTTTCTCCGAGTAATCCCTGATGAAACATGCGCATTCTTGAGTCTGCTGGGCAATCCGTCCTGCGATATTGCGCTTGGATGAAATCTGGCCAAGAGTGTCGCCTTGTGACATGAAATGGTAAACTTCTTCCAATTTCTTGAGAAGAGATTGTACCGATTGGTTGTGTTCCGTTTGAGCGAGAATAATCTACATAGAGTCAACAACTGCTGAACAGGAAGGCGAAACCGCACGTACTTTGGATGCAGCAGACAGCATACCAAGCACTACCTTTGCGTAAGGATGTACCTATGCAACTTAATTAGCTCGCTTCCAACATAGGAGAGTGGCACATACATTCGCAAGATCTCCAATGACAGTGTCAAAAATTCTGAGCGGTTGAAGATATGTGGTCTGGGATTTATCTGCGGCCTCGAGATCTTTTGGGCCATTCCCGGCTGCGGATGCCACAGAAGTGACATGTCCCCTGAGTAGTCTCATACTTTCCGTACGTTCACGGGCATCCTGAAGTTCAGCATCAGCTGGTTGGGAATCAGGAATGTCTTCCACACCAGCAGGGGCGTCGAGAACCTGCAAGACCACCAGAATAAATTTAGAGATGAAAACCAGATTGTTTGGCCTAAGTACCGTCGAAGCAGGTTCTCTAGACGTTCTTTGGTTCACACACCCACTGAGATTCTCAGATGTGGCGGGCCTGCCACCGTCGATATCGGGGGGATGCAGACGCGACGCATCCTGGGTGGACCTCAGACAAGTTTAAGACCAAAATAATGATCACCTACATCAATATTCCGATTGGATGAAGCACCTTCATGATCGGCATTCTGGACAGCAGGGGTTTGGTAGCGGGAATGCTTGAAGCGTTTCTGCACAATATCAGCTATATTCTAGCTCCCTCAACATTCGGGTTGACGTACAGGAACTTTTTTAGTCACATTGTTCTTAAATTTTCGCAGGGCCTGACGGAATCCGCTACGGGGCTGGCTCTGGATAAAGGATGCATCAGAGGTAGCGACGATGACAACTTATTAGCGCTCATCGACAGTGATCTCAAGAGGGCACATACCGAGCCGCTTTCGCCAGCAGTTGTTTCTCTGGACTCAGAGGGTTCTGGAACAGGTTTCTGCCTGCGGTCTTCGGTCATTGCGAACAGTCAAAGATTGGGATTAGCCTGAGGGAAATGGATGCAAGATTTAGAGGGAGAATACTCGGTAGAACCACAATTTAAATAACAAGCTTCCGAATACCCTCAACCATAAGCCTCGAGGCGGCGCTAATCATTCAGCCACGTTCATTGAAGTCATAGTAATTGGCCATTGTAGGAACGGTGACTGGGTGGTGTAAGCGCCAGCAAAACTTTGGCATCGTTCATCATGCAACAAGCTTCTTGATTTTGTCACAGGAACGGGTAAGTTATTTATGAAATACACACAGATGTGTGGGCACAATGAAAGCCATCATCAGGCTAAACCTGTATGGAAACTTGAAAGTGGGAGTGATCAACGCTCAGCTTCGGCTAAGTATTAACCGGAACCCCCGAGGACGCATCAAGAGCCAAAGAAATGGATATCGGAACAGGAAGGTGACGGACTCAACCCAAATGAAGAGGACAAACGAGATGTGAAAGACAGAAGGCTACAAATCCTGAATGCTTCTGCGTGAAGAGCAAGCAAGAAGAGGATAACTTGGGTCCAAGGAGCTCTGCATAGAGAGGTGATTGATGTGAGACGCGAAGGCAGAATCTGAGTACAGCGATCTGACGATGTGCTCACTCAAAAGGTACATGTGTAAACTGAGCCAAACAACCCCTCTGATTCATCGTTCATGACAAACCGCTTATCGAGCCTTCTCCAGGCATCACGCCGAACGCGAAGATGGTTTCATAGTTTCTCTGCCACACGTGCGGAAAACTACCAGCGCGCGAGCGAAAAGCTGTTTGCGGATGCAGAACGGGAGGAAGCAGAAGAAGCTCAAAGCCCTAAACCAAACATTTCCAACATTCCTCGGCTACAGAGCCAGGATGAAGACTGGACAGGCGAAGAATCTATACAGGATGCTGTGCTGCGCATGCTCGTCGACAAGTACAAGCCTTTGCGCTCGGGGCCTATCAGGACAGCTGACATGAAGCTGAAGGAGGTGCCGCCGAAGATGCACACAGATGCATATGTTGTCGAACAGCCTGCCCAAGCGTGGCAGGAACTTTCAAACAAACCTTTGCTTCCTTCTATAGATGGCCATAAGCCATGGCATACTACTTACAAGGCCCCTTCTCATACATCCGTGTCCATCAAATTCGGCAACCTCACACCTACATCCGCACGTGCACCTGGCGTTCACCCTGTGGCAGACGAACGCACTAGAAAGACGGAGAGGGAGCTTGCCAGACGAAAAGAGCAAGCAGGACGACTGACAAGAGCTAGAGAGTCGACATTGGATTATCGCTTGGGCCTGAAGAACAGTGAGGGGCAACACGCTGCTCGTCGAAACCCTGTCAGTATGAGGGGCTGGCAGGCCTTGATAGAGGACAAGATACAGGTTGGCTCTGTCACTTGCTCGGAATGATTTTGTACTTACACCTCAAGATAGAAAGCTCAAGCTGCTGGACATTTTGACAAAATCAAAGGGCGAGGCCAGCCTATGGTTAGATTGAGCGACGAGCACAACCCTTTCATTGCGAGAGAGGAGTTCCTTATGAACCGGATTGTTCAAAGGAACGGGGCAGCTCCACCATGGGTCGAGGTCCAAATTGGTGGGTGACTTATACCATATCGGTGAGATCTTCAAGTTTACCACTTCAGTCTAATATCACAGAGCTGGAGACTGCAGTGAACTCATTTCGCGACGTCCTGCGGCAGTCGTGGACAAGGCGCGCAATTCGGACTTTAACAATGTTGCAACCAGTGACTATGTTGCCTTCATTATCGCTGGGCAGTGTGACATCATTGCGCGACCGCGAGTGGGAAGGACGAGAGCGCTCTTATCACGATACAGCCGTTGCTGAATTGAATTCTTTGGTGCGTAAATACAATGCCCTTGCGCCATATTCTGTGCGCCGCCCATATTATTCTCGAGAGGCCGAATTAGCCAAGGCGTATCAGGATTGTGGGGATGACATTCTGCGTGGGATATCGGAGAGAAGAAGAGAGATACATGGCAGGTCTGGTGCCTCACCACCATCTGAAGTCGAGTCTTCTGTGGACGCCGATGCTTCTACGGCCTACCTTTTGAGGCTTCGAGATATCATCCGTCGGTGGTTTGTGAAGCTGCGAGACAGATTCATCAATGCGTCCTGATCAACGCCGTTGGCACGCTGGATCATATATACATATGCATTTCCCCGTGCCCAGATAAAGCCCAAGAGCTAAGGCACGCTCTATATCTACTCTAGACTCGTCAATTGTAGCTAACAATTCATACATACATTTGTATCCTTGTCCTTGCGTTTTATCTTGAGGAGCACGGCCTGTCATTTGTCCATTGTGTTGATCTGATGCCGCGGAAGCATCCATGTCATCAGCGTATCTCAGCGTCCATGACTGTGGATACGACGACAACAATGAGTACGGCTACTGAGCATAATGGAATAAGTCGATTCCTGCAATTTACGTGAATCCGGCATCCCGGACTTAACTCGGCAGCAAGGAACAAGAAGAAACGAGGCGTTTGCAAATTCCCTGGGCTGCCTCGTGCCTCGCCTTTTCCGGAGGTCGTTGACCGGGCATCTAGTCTATAAAATCCCACCCTTTTGTCTATTTAATTCTCCCATCCTTGCAAGCCTTGTATTCTTCCAGACCCACCTTTTCTCCTACATATCCCGCCCACCGTCGCCGACACTATGGCCATCTACGAGGAGTATGCATCGCTCCCTATCAGCGGCGATATCACGGTGAATTTTTCGCTTTTTCCCAGTGCCAAACAAGCTCTAACGATACTTTTTTGTAGCCTGGCGACATCGTCGCCGTTAACCACGACCGCTACGGTCGTCAAGAGGGCCTCGTCGTTGGCTCTCGTGTCGACTTCGCTGTAAGCCCCGACTCCCACAATAAAAATGCATCATAGCTCATCCCACCTCACAGGGCCGACAAATCCTCGAAGTCCAACTCGAAGCCTCAAGCGAAATCTACCAAGCATGGTACAGCTGGCACATTTCTCACCCCAAATCCACTATCTAACGCAACATGAATCACAGGTACCCCACCGTCACCCGCGTTAGGAGAACAGTCTCCTACACCCGACCTGTCGTCGCAAAACAGCGCACCATTGAGCGCCGAATCTACTGGTGATCGTATTTCACCCGGCCCCATTTCTCTCCTTGATTTGGACTGTCGAATTTTGTATTATCTAAGTATAAGTATCTACCCCCGGCCAAATCGACATGGTCATGGCTCTTGGTTCTTGGTTCGGTCATGGGGCGACGCTCAATACGATACATAGCTCGTGGTGGCCACTGGTGGACGCGGTGCTGGGCATGGCGGAGGTTGCTTTTTATTCAATTGATGGAATTACGATGATGACCAGAGGTGTTTTGATATCGGCACATTAGGTCACATGTACTTTGGATGACCATGACAAGAAATGGCATAACCTTGCATAGATCAGCCGCTGTCTTCTCACAATCTGATTTGCGTAAGCGCAGATATTATTCTACTAAACATTATGTGACGTGGCGGCAATCGCGGGTCCCGCGAGAAATATTCAGAAAATTCATTGTGGACATTTCGCTATTGTCCACTGCGCGTTATTAGGGACGGATATGCATTGTTAGATAACATGAGTCTAGTCGACGAGGAGTACCAACACACATGACTAAGTAAGTTAGTGAAAATCTCAACCTGTAGCAGGCTAGGCTATGCTAAAGATACACGAGCATAATAAACAAGTTATATGATATGGGGGTTACAGAAAAGCGGTCATGCTTTCTGGTCGACAACAGGTGAGGGGTGCGTAAGTTGAGGGGATTTGGGATGGCGAGATCCTAGTGGACGAGCGGTAAGGGATGAAGACGAAGATGACGTACGCTGATGCATGATGTCCGGTGCTGATGCCCAGAGAGAGGAAGACGAATTGGTAGATGAGCTTGACAGAGAAACCCGCGACAGATTTGCTTCCAAAGGGACAGCGCTTCCATTTATTAGAGACGGAGTCGATGCAGATAGAGGCTCCTGGTCCCGTCGCGCAGCCGAAACACTTCTTCTCCCAGCCACTACGCTCCTCACAACTCTGGGACCCATCACACCTCTTCCCCTACTCTCTACAACATCCCCATCCAAGCTTGCAACCGATGTCGCTGACCCGTTCACGCGCGGCTTGAGTGTCTCCTCTGAGCTTCGTGGTGAGTTGTGATGTGGGTAAATGCCAGGGCGCGACTGTACCACGCGCTCGTAGTAGAGCATAAACGCCCCAGAACCCTCCTGCACCACTGTCTCTATTCCGCATTCCTTCACTGAGTCGTCACTGATCCGTAGCCATCCCCGGCCAAGGCGGTACATGGAGTCCACGGCTTCGTCGTCGTCGCGCACGGGCCCATAGCGTTGGCACTTTTCACAGTCGCAGCCAAGTGGGTCGGCGAGTCTTGGTGGTGCGAAGCGTCGTGACCCGTAGGATACAGGCCGGGGTTTGCGCCGGTAACAAACGTAGTGACCGAAGGAATGCTGACCATAGTGACACACAACAGCAGAAAGACGGTATATGATTCTTTGTACAGCATATGTTGCCGGCGTGGGGGTTGTGGAACGAGGGAGTAGGGGAGGTTGTGACGAGATGGGAACAGAGGGTTTGGTGGAGAGATTGCCAGAAGTTGTAAATGGTGTGAGATCTAGGAATTCGGGAAACAGAATGCGAACTGTGTTCTTAGCAGCATAGTGGCCGTAGCTGAGGGATCGATTGAGATGTAGTGCGAGAACTTGAGGTGGCTGTAGAACGTCTAAGATACTCGGGGGCACATAAAAAGCTCAGACTTACTCTTGCGATCATGGCTTGCTTTGTCGATGCTCTGCTGAACACTTTCTCCATCTTGACGCCCTTGACGTCCTCTTCTAGTCGACCATGATCTAAGGCAGACTGTACCCTGAGTTCTAGTTTTCTGGCGTCCTTCACCCGCTTCTTCTTCGATATAGAGGCGGTAGGGTCTGCGTTCACTGCTGCTGCCAACCGGTCTGCTTCTTGCCTAAGCTTCTGATGCGTGGCCTTCATCGAACATTTGCGACATATGCAGTCGTTCAGCATCTCGAGCTTAGTGTACTCCGCAAGACAATCCTCCAAGTGACAGCTGGCCTGTGCGAGTTAAGTATATTAATGACCTAATCAAGAAACAACATACAGCATATCGAGGCACAGCAAGTTGCCAGCTGTCGAAAGCAAAGTGCATGACTGCTTCTGTGTAGCCGCACTCGACGCAGCTGCGCCTGTTTGCTGTGAGTCCGTCGAACACACTCTTCCCAATCTCTTTGTTAATGTCATTGCGGACTTGAGAGAGTCCACCTAGACCACGATCCCGTTGGCCTTCATTATCGACTGCAGCTACTTCCTTCTTGATGCATTCGGAGACGAGTTGGAATAATTCCTGTGCGTCTTGATGTTCTCGAGAGGAAAAGAGGGAGTTGTGTCTGCTTCTGGAGTGATTGACGAGGGTGGTAATCATGTCGAGTGGACGAATTGAATGATAGGCAGTCCGAGGTGTGTTGAGATCTATAGATATGCCTGTTAAATACGCAGTTGTTGTGCTGTACAATGACACGCACCTTGGAGCAAAGCTAAGAGGGCGTCTACGACAGGTGATGGCACATCAAGTTGAATAGCCTTGGCTTGCGTGTATGAGAGATAAGGGTGTAAATAGGACAAGGAGGCCATAGCCTAATTGCACTAGTGTGAATGGGAGAATTATGATTCGAACTGAGTACCTTACCTGCATAGTTGAGTTCATGAAACAGTACGTTCCGGATATATTGACAAGACCGGGGTAATAGCCATCATGGACATCATTTTTGTGCTCTAGAACTGATGTCTAGCAACAATTGGAGTATCACATGAGAAGAAGTACATACGTGGTCTTGCATGTCCGTTAAGCTCGATCTGTTCACTACGACTGCGTAACGCTTTCTTCTTGAGTTTTTTAGTTTCTTGTTGGGTCCCGGAGGATGATGACCAATTCCATGGAAAGCTGAGCGAAAAGCTCTCAAACACCATAGCTAGCCGCCAGGTGGCTGATGGGGATCCAAGGCTATTAAGTACTGCTTGGACGGAGAGCAGGACAATAAGCGGGAATAAAACGAAAACGGCAAGCGGGGTTATTTGAAGAAACAAGGGGTCTTTGAGTAAGGCGAGAAACCAAAAACGAAATTCGTCTTGAATGTTCATGGGGAGGCTTGACTTTACGCTGCTCTCCAAGACATGAGCAACACTGGCGATGCGGCAGCTCGGGGAACACAAACCTTTATGTTGTTGACATGGTCGTTCGTTCGTATCTAATACAGCCACGCAATCAACCCAAACACATGGCTACCTGGCGCAATGGTAGCGCGTTTGGCTTCGATTGCCAGCGGCACCAAAAGGTTGCAGGTTCGAGTCCTGCGGTGGTCAATGTATTTTTGTTGCCAATAAAGTCACAAATAATTCTACATCCTCTTCTTACTCCTCATAATACTCGCTCCTATGGAACTCACACGGCCACCTTCCTATAGCTATACCCTCCCCAGACATCACTCGCCTCCCCTTTTGCTCCCCCTCATCTAAAATAATTACACACTGCTCATCCGTTCCTTCATCCACGTAATGCCACTTCCCACATACGCCATCGCCAAACGGGTGTGGGAATAGGTCATCGTCTTCGGGCTCCGATGGATCTGCAAGGAACGGGTGATATAGTGCTCCCCGCGGAGTAATGCGCCGTGTTGACTCGGGATGCATTACCTCCGCAAGAAGAGAAAGCGCGGCTTCGACGTCGGCTCGGTGCGAATCAGCTGTTGGGGGTGCTGGTGTACTCGCACGCGTGGGGGTGGTAGAGCGTGACCGAGAGGAACTGGTCTGTCTGTAGCTGTACGATGAAGATGATGACGGAGGCGGATAGTTGCGTCCTCCAGGGGAATGTGTATCGTAGTTATTGTAGGGGTAGTATCGAGGGTCTGGCGTAAAAGGTTTGAAAATGTTAGGATTTTGTTTTTCAACGAACTCGCGCCAGCTTATGCCTTCTTGTGATATCGAAGGCACATTTGTCGCAAATGTTCGACCTGTACAGTACTCGTTAGCTCAAAATTTTAAATCAAACGTGATAGTTACTATGCAGGATCGCAGTTTTCTCCATTTTCTGTCGTCCGATAATGGTAGCTATTTCCATGAGAGCTTCCATATCATCACTGGACTGTAGAAGAGGGAATTTTTCCGTGAGGAAGAAGAGAAGGATCATGCCAGCAGACCAAATATCAATGGCTGGGCACCACGCGTTCAGCCAGCGCGTTGGACTAAAAATGACATGCCGTACCACCGGTTTGCTGACTGCACTTTAGAAGGACTTCAGGGGCCCTGAAGCCTCTCGTGCCTGCCCTGTTTGCTTTCGAGGGCGCTCTGGTTTGCAGGGTCAGTCGACGAACTACTTGGGGAAGAAAGCTCACCTCGTATCTTTGTCAGGATAACCAACACGATCGCTTGGCCACGAGCTTTTCTGTCGGGCTTCCCTCTGCATCTTCTTTAGGAGGTCGACATCATAGTCATTCCGACCTCTTATCTTGCCGTGAGGATGCTCCCGTGTAGCAGAGGTATGTAAGCATGCACCGTGCGCCGGCGTAGATCCATCCATTCTCTGAAACATTGTGTTATGAAATGTACCTGAAGCGCATGTCTCACTGCTCACACTTGCAAGCCCAAAGTCGCACAGGGCACCTATGCCTGTTCGAGGATCATACAAAAAGTTGGCAGGTTTAACGTCCCGATGTATGATACCCCTGGCATGGATATCGCGTAACGCACGGAACATACATCGAAAGTATGCTTTGACACCAGCCATAGATAAATCTTTGTAGAATTCCTGAACTAATGTTAAAATGTCTTCCATATATGAACCGGTGTACCCACTCGGAAATCCTCATTGCGGGTATATGGCATGATAGCGACTACCTGATCCTGGTGTCGGAATGCGGTGATAAGCTGAGAAGTATGACGGCATCCCCTACAGTCTTCCATGATCGAGATCTCATTTCGTATTCGCTCTGGATTACTTGTGACATATATTCTTTTGATGGCAACAAAGACTTTGGTACCAGGAGGATAAGGAGCTGATTGGTAATGTGCAGAGGATATGGGAGGATGGCAAGCATGCCACGCAGTGTTGTCCCATTTGTAATGATAGGCCAGATCTATAGCCTTGTATACGGAGGAGAATGTCCCTGTGCCAAGGCGGTCGACGATGGTGTAGTCTTCTGATAACGACGGAACAGCACTGTTGAGATTGGAAATTTCTAGCTGGATCTCCTGTTGTTCTTCCGGTGGTTTGAGGTATAATGTCTTTTCTTCATCCGTCTCGCCATCCGCGCCGGCATCTTCATCAGGGTCGTCGTCGTCGTCGTCATCGTCGTCGAGGGTGCCCATATCATGTGGAGCTTCAAAGTTCATATCATCAACGCTCTCCATGCTCTCGTCGAAATCCACGACTGGGAGCTCGTCTGGGTGATTCGGACGCTTTCGCTTGATAGTAGAGGGCACAACGCCTTGTTTCGAATAAAGGCGTGCAAGATGATTGTGATACTGGACCATCTCTGGCCTGTCGAAACCATTGTGACCGTCTTCGGAGGTGGGGGTGAAGGCACCATTTGTATTCTGTGCTGAGACATACTCCTCGTGGTAAGCTTTGTTACGAACATCAGAAGAACCGACTTCAAGAGGATTAGATGAGTGCTGAGAGAGTAGCATGGTGGCCATGGCGCGTCCGGCCGATGTGAGTAATGACCACCCTGTCCAGGCGTTGTGGTAAGTAGAAAGTATGTTTAAGCTGCAAGCCTCATCGCGACAAACGCGTCAGGGTCACGTGAGCTAGATAAGCACAAGATAAACAATAAAAAATGACCACCGCAGGACTCGAACCTGCAACCTTTTGGTGCCGCTGGCAGTCGAAGCCAAACGCGCTACCATTGCGCTAGGTAGCCATGACGTCTTTTCATTCTCAACCATTTTGTGTAGAAGGACATCCAAATTGGCTGCTCAAATCTGGTTAACTCGCTCAGCTGCGGCAACAACATCTCTATCATGGCGCTCAATTGGACGATGCTGGATGCGGGACACCAACCTATACCCTTGCGTGATGAGACCACCATCATGTCCATAGATCGTGATTCCCAAGTGGAGTTCTCCTTGACCATACCCGACGCGCCACCTTCGGGCGCTGCTGCCACCGGGGGCAATGGTGGAGTGAAGATGATGAGGGAGAGAGGGAAGCTCTGGCTGACGAACACACGAGTATGTTCATCTCTCCCTCCCAACATCAATGTCTCTAAAACCGAACTAATTCGATGTGCACTAGCTCATCTTCATAGCACCCAAAGTGGGAAAGACCAAGCCGTCATTCGAATCGCTATCGATACCGCTGGACGCAATCCTATCTAGCAAATTCGAACAGCCTTACTTCGGCGCTAACTTTGTGGTGCTTGATATCAAGCCCTCACCGGGTGGTGGACTTACAGACGGTACGAGCGTCGAGATCCGGTTTTATGACAGGGGGTTGTTTGAGTTCGTGAGCCTCTTGGGGAAGACGCGCGAAAGAGTCGTTTATATGAAGAGACAGGCGGCCATGGAGGATGACGAGAACTTGCGTGAGTACTCATTCCAGATAACATCGATTTTTCTAATGTGCTTGTGATGAATAGCTGCGTATACGTCATCCGGTTCCGCACCGGGAGCTTCGAATTCATATGCGGATACTCCGCCTGGATATGTTGCTTGAAATCATTTGATTCACCCAGCATTATACTGTGTCAACAACATCGGACGTTGCAAGGGATGTAATATGTGTACATTTTTCTACTGAAATTCCAGCCTTATCGTCCATGCATGCTAGGTGTTATAATATTAATGTGTTGTTTGCAATATTTGCTGACAGTGACATCCCCTTAAACTTTCAGTGATCTATAATCTACCCTGAGGTTCGCGGCTATTTTTGTTATTATTGGGCAATTTTGAAGTCACGGGTAATTATCCCGCTGGTTGTCGTTCTAGGCGACTAGATGTCACGACTCGCGATGCCACAGGAATGCTTAGGTATCTATGCCGCAACGAACAGCCAATCTCGGATGGGCTGCTCCGTGGGATCAAAAGCATCCTTGATGTTATATGTTTTGGAGGTGCATCATGTTACCAGTGACCTCTGTAGAACATTCATGGTCACAGCATGGCCTATCGCGTGTTAATCGCATGAACCTGCCTTTCATGTATATTGTGTTATATATTTGGCGCTGAATCCTGGGTAGCTCGGGCTCCTCGACTCACCATGAAACTCATTTCGACGAGGATTCTCGACCTCGGGGTCGTTTTTTCCCTTCGGGTCGGGGGCCCTATTGGCGGATATTTCGTTATCTGGTTTGTCTACCGTACTATAAAGAGGTACGTAGTGAACTAAATATATGTGCATTGAAGTTGGTTATGATATTCCCACTAGGGCGGGGAACTGCTGGGAACTGCCAGGACGACAATGTCACTATCCATATACTAAATTTAAACCACGACCTGAAGTTCATTTATTATCGTCCAAGTGACCAGGCCATCTGACATGTTCAGAGTCTCGATGTCGGTCTATGTCTATGAACACACGAGATGAACGCGCCGACCGGATATATTTGTCGGCCGGTGTACAACGATTCAAGTGGGTGTCGAGATATGGATCGTACCTGAAGTGATGTCCATGAGAGTCGGATAGCATTATCGCCGAACCATATCGAGGTTAATTCCTTTGTGATGGAAGGCATAGGTTTAAACTGGACAGCCTGCATCAACTGTGGCGCCAAATGGAAGACGTGGACAGGCCATTTAATACGACTTGCGAAAGTGGACCAAGTTAACACATTGCATCATGAATGTCACCAATCCCAGCCCCCCAACTGCCCTACAGAACGCACTACCTCCATTCAATGCATACATCATGATTGGACCGGTGGTGTTGGGTGCGCTCGTCAATGCCTGCCTCTTCGGCGGTCTCATCGTTCAAATTTATATCTATTATGCAAATTTCCCCAACGATCATCGAATGATGAAGCTTACGGTCAGTGAACCTAGTATGTGGATTTAGAACACAAGTCGCTGACTGAACACCATGTTTCCAGGTAGCAGCCATCCTGTAAGTGGCTTATGTAGCTTTTCTCCTGCTCTACCCGAGCCAATCAAATTGCACAGCGCATCGCAGATTGCACACGTGATTTGTGTATCAGCGACACTATGGAAGGCTGCTGTCAGCGGCTATGGCAACCCTCTGACGCTGTTAGTCTTCCCACAGGGAGCAGATGCAGCGATCCTCTTCACTGCAATTACAGGGGCACTGGTAGAGGTAAGATCATTCATCGAATTTGATAGAGATTCTGACTAGCATGTATGTAGTCATCCTTCGTGTTTCGGTTGTGGAAGCTTTCGAAAACACTTGCTTTGCCCCTTGTCTCGCTGGCACTCTGTTTATTGGCTCAGTCTATCGCGCTCGTGATGACAGTGAAAGCTTTCGCCATGACAAACCTTGTGACATTCGAAATTGATGAAAACAGACTGATCACGCTTTCACTCACCTCGCGTCTGGTTTGTGAGTTGACACTTACCCTGTCCATGGTATGGTACCTGAGGAAGCAACGGTCGTCGACATTTTCAAGGCACGTTACATTACTTCCAATTCGTTCCGTCGTAATGGTTTACAGGACAACAGCCATGATTGACCGTTGGGTTCTGTGGACTCTCGGTGAGCACTGTGCACTTTTCTGGCAGATACGACTCATCCTTTGAATTACCTCGCAGAAACTGGCCTTATAACTAGGTATGTGGCAAGACCATCCTGGCGTGTTGGAGCTGATGTTATGTTGAGCCTGGTTGTGGCCTTTATCATGAGCTTCGTAAGAGATCCTTTCCTAGAGGTATAGTACTGGACTGATTCTGAAAGAGTAGTTCCTAGCAATGAAGCAGAATTGTGAGTGAACCGGGATATCTTCTTCGCCACAAAGTGAACATTTTCCAGACATATGGGTTTCAATATATGCAAACCTTGCTACTGGTCTGTGTCCGCAAAATGCACATATTCGAAACACTTACCTAGTCTTTGGGTCTCAGTGAATGCGAACTCGTTACTTGCATCGTGAGCTTTCTTGACTAATTTGGCACCGCACTCACGCGGTTGTAGGCTTAACGGCAGATTGATCCTCCGAAGCGTGCCGAACACAAGTTTCAACATGAACACTCTGAGTAGTTCAGCTGGTGGGCGTAGCGGTAAAACCGAGGTTCGTGGATGTGATGTGTCGCCTTGCAATGTGGCTTACTGAAGTCGTGCGAAGTCTGTGGTGATCAATGTCACGCAGACAGTCGGAAGTGTTCCAGGTGTTTTTAAATACGATGAAGGTGAAGCTTAGGTTCGAGAAACTAGATTAGTGACGACAACGGCAATTCATGCGTTATATGATGAAGCTGTCAACCAATTTCATTCGCCGATTTGGATGCACGCACAGGAATATCAATAAATGTAGGCGAAGAGCCAATTATTATTATTCTCTTTCAAGGAGTCAACACTGCATTGTTGCATGGGTTCTCCTTCTTCAAGTTATCTGGTGACAACTGACTGCACGAGGCATTAGGCCTCCAGCGGCTGGCTCGTATCTGATTATAAGATGTCGTTGTTTCTGTTAAAACTCAAAAAGATGTCTACATTACAAGGTAATAGAATCTTGGTAGCTTGAGTTGTCAAACTCGCTACGAATATCACTTCAATGAGTATCGGTGGCTGCTCGGTCCCAAGCCTTGGCCGTCGAGTCGGTTATCCAAGATGTACCCGTTAGCTTAAGGAACCAGGACAAGCCGCTGCTTAAGGTCTATCTGTTACGGTCAAAGTGATCCGGATCCGTCATGCTCTAGAGCAAGAGTCTTAATGTCAGTATATATAAACGACACGAGCACTCACACAAAACAGGTTTACTGACCAGAGTACAGCGAGCACAGTGAGTGCTGAAAGACGTAAGTGAATGAGTCGCCAGACAATATTATCACTGAACTAGAATCTAGACCATCTACTTTCCGTTGCACTCGGCGGCGTAAGTTCAAAGTAACCTGCATTAACTCTTGGCGCCGAGAGGATGAAATGAACGGGCGATTTAATACGGGTCAGGAAAGTGGACAGGATACCACCTCGCATCATGGATGCTACCGATTCTAGCACCTCCTTGTCATTTGAAGTTGCAGCATTCAATGCGTCCATCATCGTTGGACCGGTGGTGTTGGGTACACTCGTTGACACCTGCCTCTTCGGCTGTCTCGTCATCCAGACTTATGTGTATTATGCGAATTTCGCCAACGACCATCGAGCGATTAAGTTCACGGTCAGTGAAACTGGCATGAGACACGAATCACTGACTTGATGCGATCATACCAGGTAGCAGCAGTCTTGTAAGTGGCTTATACGTCATCACTCCCTGTCCAGACCAGCCAAATTATGTAGCGCAACACAAATTGCGCATGTAATGTGCGTATCGGCGACACTATGGAACACTGCTGTCAGCGCATACGACGACCCTTCGAAACTTCAGATACTCCCATTGGCAGCTGCCGCAACTATCCTCTTCACCGGGATTACAGGGGCACTCGTTGAAGTAAGATTCCTCGTCGAAATTGATAGTGATACTCACCTGCACCTAGTCGTACTTTGTTTTTCGACTATGGAAGGTGTCGAAAAAACTTCTTCTTCCCTTTCTCTCCCTGGTGCTCTGTGTAATAGCTCAGGTTGTCTCCCTTGTGATCACGGTGCAAGCTTTCAAAACAACAAGCGTTGCGATGTTCGAAATTGATCAAAACATGTCGATCACGCTTGCGCTCACTTCGCGTGTGCTCTGTGATTTGATGCTCACCTTGTCCATGGCGTGGTACTTGAAGAAGCAGTGGTCGGAATATCCAAGGCAAGCTACATTACTTCCAACTCGTGCCGCTGTAATACTTTTGCAGGACCACGAACATGATTGACCGTTTGGTTCTGTGGACTATTGGTGAGTACTGCGCTCATTTTTCCGGATGACTCACATCCGATCAATCATTCTGTAGAAACCGGTCTGATAACCAGGTATGAGGAAAGACGATGATTCTGGCGTGTTTAGACTGAAGTTATGTTGAGCCTAGTTGCAGTACTTGTCATAAGCTTCGTAAGAGATCCCTTCTCAGACGCGCAGTACCAAACTGACTAAAAGAATATGCAGTTTCTAGCAATGAAGCAGAATTGTGAGTGAACCAAGATCTCTTTCCTTCGCCGTGAACTAAATTCTATGCAGACATATGGGTTGGATTATATGCAATCCTTGCGAGCGGTCTGTGTCCGGACAATGCACATATTCGAAATACTCACCTAGACCTTGCCTCGCAGTGAATGGAAACTCGTTGCTGGCATCGTGAGTCAGTCTCATTCATTTGGCGACACCGTGACGAGTTCAGGCTTTTGCAGGCTAAATGGCAGATTAATCTTTCGAAGCTTTACGAACAAAAACTTACGCATGAGCACTCTGAGTGGTCCAGGTGGTGGACATAATAAACAACATGTTCGTAAATGTATTATCTTGCAATGCAGTGTACTGAAGTCATGCGAAGCCTTTTGTGATCAATGTCACCCAGACAGTCAGAGGTTCTCCAGAGGTTTTCAAACGCGGTGAGATGGAGGTTTAGGTGTCCGAGAAACCGCTAGATACAATAATGGTGGCTCATGCGTAACGCGATGAAGTTACTCATCTGGTAAAAACCGAAACCCTTCTGAAAGCACAAGACTTCAGTACTCAAATCTCCAGACCGAAAAGCTGACCCGTAATTGCTCGATAAGCGTGCGCTGTAACGTATACAGGCATCGTGTCATGGCCGAAAAGTTGTGAGAACAATGTTAATATTGGTGAACGTTTGGCAAAAAATGAGTGACTGGCACTATACAAGCCAAATAAGGAAACTTAAATGATGCTTGAGCTTCCTTACCAGGTAACCAAGTGACTAAGCAACTAGTAGTAGATAGTCAAGCGACACATCATGTTGAACAGAACATATGCATGATATATAAATGAGTCATCATCGCCGTTCCGTGCTCTCTTGCTTTCTGCGACCACGGCCAGCTGTCATTCCTACAGCCAGATTTTTGCTTATACTTGCAGTCCCCCGAAAGTCCATTACAATTATCAGACCATTCAGAATGTCCGCGGAAAATGCAAAATTTGTCGTGAAAAACCTCTTCTTTACGTCGAGGGCTGGGTCTGCGTTATGACAAGCGGTGGAACCGGAATCTGCCTCATTGCACAAGCCTTTACCAACAACGGGGCCGAAGTCTACATCTCGTCGCGCCGTCAGGACGTCCTTGAGCACACTCAGGCGAAGCAATGGAGTTCTTTCCTTGTTCATCCTAAGGTGGAAACTTATTCCTGTCACTGGTGACGCCACGTCGAAAGGCTCGATCAAACAATTGGTCCAGGAGATCAGCAAGCAGGAAGATCACATTGACCTACTCGTGAATAACGCTGGTATCAGCGAGGGTAAGAGCGACGTCGAGATGGGTGATCAGAGTGCTAAGGATCTCGCAATGGAACTTTTTGACGAGGACTAGGCCAAGCTAGAGAACGTCTACAGGACCAACACCATCAGCTGTTTCTTCATGACTACCCCATTTTTGCCCTTTGATGCAATTTCTCTTAGCAAGTCACAACACCCTGACCCTGTCACCAACGTCACCTCGGTTTCCGGTATCACTCGTACCACGTAGTCCCACTACAAGTACAACATCTCAAGGGCGGCCGCCACCCACTTATACTTTAATTGCGCAAGAAATTCCGGAGGAAAGCTGTTCAGGTCAGAGCGAATAATATCGCAGCTGGGTTTTCCCTTCTGAAACGAGAAGTCGGTCGAGGTTTTGTTAAATCCCATTTTTCTAGCTAATGATTAATGGTCTTAGCTGATAGCTCTGATGAACCCAATAAGTCGCAGATTCCAGTAGGTGAGGACTATTCGTCCTGGACGTGACGAAGATATCGTACAAGCTGGTTTGTTACTGGTTTGCAACTAGTATGCATATGGACAGGTACATTAGTTGTGCCACTACCTGGTTTGTCATATTCACTCAATACTCGTCTGCAAGACCCTAGCCATCGATGACAGGTATCCTCGAGCACCCTTTGAATCACGCTTTCTCGCTTCCGCTTGAATTCTCCGAGCTTCGCATGTATCGTTATTCTTATGTCGAATGTCAGATTGTAGCCCCACTACATGCAAAGAACGTCAACGATTACGCACGGTTCCACTTGATGTGATACAATAATATTGTAACGGGAAGAGGGGTTATCATAGTGATGTAGCAATTAAGTCAAGCACTGTATGTATGTCCTATTGATAGATAAATTACACTTTCCCAATATAAAAATATCAATTAAGCTTGTCGGTGCTGTCAACTTAAATATCCCTCCTCCGATCTTCCTATGACCGGGGCATAATGGAATCCTCTTGGACGCTGCCATAGTACATCGCTCGTGGCACCGAGCGGGGATTCTCCAATGCGGCGCCGGCAGTAGCCCACGATGTTAAGTTCTTGAGTGACGATAGCGTTGGAGTAGCTACTCTGCGAGGATGAGGGCGTGGCATGTCATGGCCTCCCCGCTGACTGGCCTCGTCTAGCATACGACTAGGTGGGGGTGGTGATGTCACTGAGCCCGGCACCGTCTGGCTCGTAGCGAAGCTGAAGTTTCTCATCGTCCTGCTGAGGGTCTGCAACACTGATCCGCCGCCGGTGCTGGGTTCACCAGGTGTACGTTGTTCGACCTGGTTCATGTACGTTGAATGAATAGATGAGTCTGAAAGACCTCGTCTACGCAGGGTACGCTCGAGGAGGGGGCCAGGGATATCATCCGCTTCGCAGTGCTCTGGACTAGTGTCAGCGTCAATCTCGCGTGACGAGTGCACATTGCTCCGCTTGTGCGTGAGGGACCTATCAACGGTCGTGGTACCACTCTGCGAGGGCTCGTCTGATTTGAAGAACGTGGAACGGACACGGCGAGGAGCAGGGGGAAGAACTACCCATGGGTCTGCGGCGTCATTTGGGTGGGGTGCACCTGCGAAGATGCCCATGACGCTGCGTGCATTTGAGGTTGACATAGGAGGACGAGGAATAGTATCAACGTGAGACATTGGGCCAAACGGATGTGCTTCATTTGTAGGATGAGCTGAGAACGTGCTTGTTACAGACTTGCCAACGCCCGCTCCCGAGAACTCGACGTTGACTATGGTAGTAGATGCAGCAAGCGCCGGGCCCAGCTTCAGCACTGGACGTGGCTGGTGAATGACTCCACGACCTCGACTTACAGGTCTAGGGGGTGATTGAGAAGGGTGAGTGCTCGGCTCGCTTAATGATGAACCGAAGAGCTTCGAGAACGGGGTCATCCAACTTGAGCCCAATCCGGACGCCTTCCTCTCTCTCTCCATCGCCTCAGCCTTTGCAGGGTCCAGTGCCATCTCACTAACCCGTTGTGCTATAGAAGGCTCTAGAATGACATCATTCAGCGTGACACGTAGCTGCCCAAGTTCCTCAAATACGTCCTTGAAAAACTTGAATAGCACACGCAGATCCTTCCGGGTGCATATAAGGGTGGCCTTCTCATCCTCCAGTAGCACGCGGTACTGTGCACGCAACTGGGTGATCTCCGAGAGGATGTTATTTACTGTCGCACGTGATAGGTGCTTAACGTCCGCGCCACGCAGATGCTGGCGTTTTAAGCGGTTTGTCAGAGTCAGCGCATCTGCCTGCGACATGCGCAACAGGAGTGACATTATCCGTTCTAGGAGAGCAGATAGGTGTGACGGTTGACCATCCTGAAAGGAAGACGTATCCGATCGGCCATCGTGAGGAAAGGACGATACAAGCTCGTTGAGAGACGGCATTGGATGCAACCCTAGCCAGCGGTCTGTCTGCACCGCCTTGGAATGCTGATTAGGATTGGCGAGCAGCGAGTGGTGATCGAGGCCGAGCTCCTCCACATCGGAGCTGGTGTGAGAAGATGTGTATTGTGGGTGCAGACTGGTATACTTCGTTTCTGAGGGAACCATCGATTCTGCTGGGGAAAGAGGACGCTGGCTGGTGTCTGGCGTGAGGGGCTCCTTGGAAACTGCGTAAGACATCGGTTGTACTCGTAAGGGAGATGCGCTTACGAACACACGACGAACCCTTGGCTCTGAGCTTGATGGACGTTTGACAGAGTTTAGTAGCTGAGTCAATTGTGAATGGATAGAAATTTGGATGAGTATATATCATCGTACCGAATCTCGAATAAATGACGATGGGCCACTTCCCGTCCGTGAATGTCTTGAAGGCGTATCCACTAATTACAACACCGTAAGTTGCTGCGCACTGGACTTTGATATAAAATGCGGACCTCGTATTGGAGGTGGGAAATTGTTGTTCTGCTCCACTTGTGAATGTAGCGCCTGAAGGTCTTCTCTTGACTCGGTGAGAAGCTTATGGAGCTCCTTATTGTCAGCCCTAAGGACCTCATTGTCAGATACTAGCGACTCCAGCACTTTCATAACCTCCGAGTCCTCAGTTATCACCGAGCTAGTATGCTGAAGGTGGTCATTAGCGATTCGTTACATACGTGTGCACAAGACCCTGACCGTGTGATGAAGATCTTCTAGACGAGAGCGAACATCTCGTAGCAGAGATTCTGACGATTCTAATCGTTGCAAGCGTCGAAATTCGAGGTCAGCTTGCAATCGACGAACCTCAGCTCGTAGCTTATCTGTGTCACGGGAAAATGATCAGCAAAACCTAATCTAGAGACAACGAGAAAACCCTACCAGTACGATCCTTGAGAGCAGCAATGCGTGCTTCTGCAGTCTTTGCCTTCTGTGCTTCACTGTCTTGCTCTTGCCGAAGGTCGTCATTCTCTTGGAGAGCAGCAGTTAGTCGAGATTCAATCCCTACAGTACGTGCTTGGTATGCAGTCAGGCGCGTCACCGACGTACGAGCTTCCTCTAGCTCCAGGAGTACAGTCTTATGTGATGCCTCAGCTACTTCACTGTTCAATAACGCCTGCGTTAGCCGCTAGAATTGAAGTGTTAATACGACCCATTTTATAAGGAAGCATCCAACCTTCTCCAGGACGGTATTATCTCTCACCAGCTGAGCTACGGGCGAATTGACCTCACCGTGCATGTCTTGAAGTGACTCATCCGCAAGATTATCCGAGACACCGCGCGGCGTGTGCACATTAGACTGATACAAAATAAGCTACGAAGGCATGCTGTGATCCGGGCTTCACGTACCTCGTGTTGACTGACGTACGCCTCATGCCGCTGCAGTAGAGCCGAGCCAACCTCTGTATATATATTTGCGAACCGCTCGCGTTGGAGACGGCATAAAGACATACCTGCGCTGAGATGCAACCGTTTCTCGAGCTTCTCCTTCGAGTCCAGCCAGCTCTTCGTCGCTTGACACTCGGTGCTACCGCAACAGCAGCATATGTTCTGCAGGGACTCCGAGGACGATACTTGGGAGAGATTCATCAAGGCTAGAGTTAGGTCGTCGATGTTACTATTGGCATGGTAAGGGCTGCTTGCGTCCACTGTATCTAGAATAGCCGGACAGTAGTCCGGGATAGACTCATCATGCATGTCGAGTCCAGTCGCTTGAACGTTGTTAAAGAATATATGGTCGTGAGGCTCAACGGGAAAGACGAGAATATATAGTATGCAGTAAGTAATAGGGTAATGAACAAGGTGTGCTCAGAATGGCAACAATATTTAGAGATGTCGTGGGAATGCTGCCTTACTGGGCGAATCTTAAATTGATGTGATCTGCCAGGCTGGAGGGCACGCCGACACAGCGAGGTCAAAAATGTGAAGACCAGTGCAAGACTGCGCTACAAGGACCATAATGATATATATTCAATCGTATGTGTACCCTATGTCGTGGAATGACATGGCATTAGCAGTAATAGTACTAGCAATCATTGTGTAATTATATAAGTATGTGCGGAAGACAAGACCTGAAACGATGCAAGTTAGAAGTACAATATATGTTCTATACATCACGTCCATGAAGAAAACGCAGTATGCTGAAAAGATTATTCCAAGCCAACAATTTTTAGAACCAGGTCAGATATCCAAGCTGCAATCTTCGACCAGTGACTGCGATTGGGAGCCAAGAACTGGAAGCTCGTTGTGAGGCCGTCCATACCCAAGTCTTCCAATTTCTGCTTCAGGTTTTGCGCTGGATTACCTTCATCCACTGTGCTGAGCGTGGATACAGACATCGAGTGTATCGATCCCAGGCGCAGTGAGTCTTGTGCATTGCAGAAAATGCTCGACACAGCTCTAATGATTGCAGCATTCGAAGAATTGGCGAAAGCATCTTTGATCCTGTCCTGCAGAATGTCATAGCTTTCAAAGAACTATCAGTACGAGAAAATTGATCATAAATTAGGACTTGCATAATTGAAACCGATTCGGGGTGTGTAACCCCAATATCTGCCAGCAAGTTATACAAGATTTCGGTCTCGGCATCGTCACCTTGTGCAGTGGTTAACAATGTGCTCGCAAACGAGACGGTGAGAAGTGCGGATGTGCTGTCCGTCAGAGAAAGCAATTCGACGGAAACGCGAGGAACGAGACGAGGGCGGGAGGAATTAGGTGCTGGCAAAAACTCTTCTCCTTTACAGTCTTGCAGGAGTTGTACGTAAGCCTCATGTGTCGTGCAGAAGGGGAGCAAGGCGATGAAGTAGCCAAGCGCATCTGGACACAGGCCTGAAGCGGAGCCATTCTCAGTTTGGCTATCACACCGCGCGGTGACTGACAGCAAACTCCGCAGAACGAGCTCGGCAGAGGATCTGAGGTGATTGTGGCGGACACCCTTGAAGATAATAGCGGCGAGTGTGAAGGAAAAACTAGAGTCGAAAGAAAGGCAGAGCAAGTGATCAAGTTGGCAGACAGTGTCTTCCAGTGAAACCCGGCCGTCCAGTAGTACATTAGGTATCGAA